TCTAATCTAATCTAATATAATCTAATCTAAATCTAAATCTAAATCTAAATTTAAATCTAATCTTAAATAAATCTAAATCTAATCAAAATCTAAATCTAATCTAATCTAAATCTAAATTTTCAAGACCAATTTACAATATTTCTTTTAAAAAACTCACATTAAACCAGAAAACATTGAGAAAATAAAGCAATATCAAGAGTGAGCCGATGATCGAAAAGACTGGAGAATCCTGGGAATGGGATTTTGAGAAGACGAAATTTTGAGAGGGACGAAATTTCGTGTCACAAATTTCAAGATACCGCACCTGTGGCCCGAGATAAACCCCGCCATATAGACAAGCGTATAACAATTTGCATGGAAACCAATAGAGTCGAAAAATCATCCTGAAATTGGGATAAGAAGAGTTCTCAAAAAACCTCCTCCCCACCCACCAAACTATTCCGAAAATTTGGAGAATCACTTTTCCGGCTAAATCAAGCGACGGGTAAAAGTCACCATTTGTGCGCTTTTTCAAGTAAACACAGAGTTTTGCAATCTGAAATTTATTGGGATTTCATTTGAGTAAAGTTTTCTAAAAGTTTTCTTAAAGGTTTGTTATTTAATCTTTTGAAAAAGTGACTAATTTGAAAAATTATCGTAGTCTCTCTTAGATTTTCTCTATTCTACTTAACCCATTCGAAACTTCTGCAGCGAATAATAGCTGGAGCTCAGGAATGAACGCTCAGGAATCACTGCAGCTCAGGAACGAACGCCCAGCTCAGGAATCGCTGCAGCTCAGGAACGAACGCTCACGAATCGCTGCAGCGCTAATTGAGCTATTGAGCTATAGTAATCAAAAGGGGCGAGATCCGGACTGTATGGGGAATGCGCCAAAAGTTCCCCAACAAGGCTATTTATTTTAGAGCGAGTCAGTTTTGCAACATGAGAGTGCGTGTTATCGTGGAGGAGAAAGATCTTTGACTTGGAGGACCAATTCTTCTTCAGGGATTCGTGAGACTCAAAAATGGAGGAATGTCCCAGTTTGAGCACTTTCTTCAAAAGAAACCCATTTTGGTGTCAATAGAAAAGTTGTAGAGAATCAAAAATTGAGGCTTATAGCCAAATTTCCAAGAAGATACACTTAGTAGTTTCGCTTAAAATGCAAGTTTTGTGAAAATTCGTAAATTTACATTTCTTGAAAACCAAAATGAAAAATGAAATATTGGTCAAAATACGGCTGGAAAAATGCCCGTACAGTAAGCAGACAGAAAGACAGACAGATACCGTAACCCCCTCCCCTTCCCCTCCTTTTCCGTCATTTCTTTTGTGAAAATTCGTAAATTTCGCATTTCTTGAAAACCAGTTTTTGAATCGTTCTGAAAATTTGGATATAAGCTTAATTTTTGATTCTCTACAACTTTTCCATTGACACCAAAATGGCTTTCTTTTGAAGAAATTGCTCAAACTGTCACATATGACAATAGCCCGCAGTTTTCAATTCACCAACCCAATAAATTAAAAATAATAATTAAAAAAAAGTAATTTAACAAATTGGGTTTAATTTCATTTTACTTTAAATCAATTTAAAGGAATTCTCTCTTGAAATAATAAAATTCTGAAGACAGATGCCTTTCGGACCGTCCACCGTACACTTTGCCTTTCAGACGTTTCCGCGCCAAACGTCGGAAACTACCGTAACCCGACGCAATAAAAGGACCCCGCCACAAAGAATTTTTCAGTCTTTCGTCGTGTTTTATTTTTTCAATCTTTTTTTTCCATTGACACCAAAATGGGTTTCTTTTGAAGAAAGTGCTCAAACTGTCACATATGACAATAGCCGGCAGTTTTCAATTCACCAACCCAATAGTTCTGTTGAGTTTGTTATCAATTCACAGAATTAAGAGTTGTTTGTTGTGATCGAACTTTGCATGTCTTAGTTTTCTCAAGAACACCAGTCAGCACTTCTTGAAGAAAAGACAGAATCCAAAGTGAGGATCGAACCCGTGAGGTCACGCTCTGGAAACGAACGCTGTACCACCTGGCCACGTCTGCACGAAAACGCGACCGCAAGGAGGCTGCTAACATCCAAATGATCAAACTTTCTCCTCTTTCCCTTCAAATTCTGCGTCGAATGGTATAGGTTGCAAAACATTTAGCAGGCTCAACCAGTCCCCCCTGCCTTGTGAGTGTCTCTTGACAAAATGGGGTTCACAAAATGAATTTTTAAAGGTATTTAGTTAACCAACTGAGTATCACACATTTTGAATGCTAATTTTATCCATGGAATATTAATTTTCTTTAAAAACTTTTTCACCCTTGCGCAGATCGCAAGGAGTTTTTTGGTATTAAATTTAAGCCAGCTTGGCTTTTTAGATTCTTGAATTCTTGAGAAACTTAACGACGCCATTTAAACGTTTTCTATTATGGCGCTGTTTTCACTAAATCTCGGAAGTTTTGACCAAGATTTACCTCGAGTATCGCATCCGAATTATCTTGTAGAAGAAAAACGAGTGCTCCAGCAAGAGTGTAACTGAAAACTTGAAAAAAATAATAGAAATAAGAAGCAATCGCCAAAATTCAAAAGGGACTTAGGGCTAAAAAGCTAAGCCAATTTTTCAGTCCAAGCCTGGTAAACAAAAATTTTTGGGCAAGTCAGAAGCCAGGTCTGGATCTGGACTAGGCTTTGACCTGGACCTGGACCATCCCTGGCTCTAGTCCAGACCTGGCCCTACATTTCATTCCCGCCAATGAATGGCCAGCTAATTCGCCCGACCTCAGTGTTATGGATTTCTGTGTTTGGGCAATTTTGGAGCAAAAAGCATGCACAACAAAACATGCAAACGTTGAAAGTCTGAAAAAGGCTCTGAAGAAAGTCTGGGCGGAAATTCCACAAAGTACCCTGCGGAACTTTGTGGAATTTCCGTGGAAAGTTATCCAAAACGTCTTGAAGCCGTTATCAAGAATAAAGGTGCCCCTATTGAATAATTTGTTATTTTTTAAATGAATATGATTACTGTTATTAGTTTTAAATAAAGTTTACATGAATCCGTTCATATTTCATTACGATACACGGTTCTGAGTCTGTAACCCTAGACCAGACCTGGACTAGAGACTAGAGTCCAGATCTGGGCTAGGCTTTGACCTGGACCTGGATCTAGACCAGACCTGGACCTAGATCAGACTTGGACTAGAGACTAGAGTCCAGATCTGGACTAGGCTTTGACCTGGACCTGGATCTAGACCAGACCATCCAAAAGCCACCTGTTAGCTATCCAAAAAATTATCTAATAGCTTTCATGAGAAAGATAACAAACTTGTCCACGTAGGATAAAGCTAGTAAAGCGATGGCGACAAAGTGATGCACGAGCATGATAATCGAATCGGATCTCCATTGATCCATGTACAAAGTGGCCCATAAAGAGTGAGTGTAGAAGCCGGTCTGCAAGAAGCATTAACACATTCACGACAAAGTCATTTTTGGCTTGGCTGTGTTTCGGAGGACAACTATGTTAGCTGTAGACGTGAAAATTTCTAACCGGAGGCATTCTGGGATAGAGAATCTGAATCCGTTATTATTTTTTGAGCAACTTTAATTTCCGAGTCAATACAGCCATCAAAAAACTCTCTAAAACTTGGGTAATTAAGCTAAATTGGAGAAAAAAGAGAAAAGGGATTTAGATTTTCTTCTTTATCCATTATTAGGTAAGCTGTAAATGTGAGTAAAGGCTAAATTTCGAAAATAACTCGATTAACTCGATACAACTCGATTAACTTTAACTCGATAAAAGCCTTGGTAACTTTTCTAAAGCCTTGGTAGCTTTTCTGAAGCCTTGGTAGCTTTTCTAAAGCCTACCCATCTACCGTAGCCTCTCTGAAGACACTCAGCTACCCCAACAACTTTAAAAGAATGCCAAAAGTCGTGTGATTACATAAGCATGCAAATTCGCACGTTTTTGTAATCGCACTTACAATAATCACACCTTGGCACACCTTGGCACGCCTTGGCACACCTTGGCACAGCCTTGAATTTAACGTTTCACTTGGGTAATTAAACCGAATGAAATACTCAAAAATAGGGCAGTTTTCTTTCAAAACTAATAACGAATTCGAATTCCTCATCCTCGAAGACCCTTAATTGCAAATTTTCAGCCCAATTACTCTAAAAAAAAGTGCTAAATCCAGGTACGGTTAGCGTCGGTGAGCCTTTCCAGTACGGTTAGCGTCGGTGAGCGGTGAGCCATAAAGATAAGTGGAAAACAGTAAAAATTAATTTATTTGGTTTATATTCCATTAATTCTAGCTTAAATCTATTCAAAAATCATCTCAAAACTAGAATAAAACATGCTAAAACTCAATGAAGCAAAAATGCCAAAGATCTTTGCATATTGACTTGTTGTCAGGGCAAAGAAACGGAAGTACCCATTTTCTCGTGATCCCAACTCGTTACTGGGAAGAAAAACAAATTGCGTGCACCAGAAAGAGCGGTTTACATGAGTACCACTACCTGTATTGCGTAGAGAACGACGACAGGCGGTTTGTAAGCCGGCTTAGTGCCATTTTTCCAGTCTAAAATTCATTTTTTCACTGAATTTTTGATTCGATTTACCATCCCACATTGAGAGCGGATCGGAGAAAGTGGGCAACTCGTTGTAATGAATGAAAAGCGCGAAAAGCCACGCCGAGCCATAGTAGGCCAACTGTAAATGTGTGTATAGACTAAATTCCAAAAATTTGAACCTTAATACAAGTCTAGATAGCTTTTCTAAAGCCTACCCATCTACCGTAAACTCTCTGGACAGACAGCTAAAGTAAAAGCTTTAAAGTATGCTCACCTTAGGCTCAGGCTCAGGCTCAGACTCAGACTCAGGTTTAGGCTCAGACTCAGGCTCAGACACAGGCTCAGGCTTAGGCTCAGGCTCAGGGTCAGGCTCAGGCTCAGACTCAAGCCCAGGCTTAGGCTCAGGCTCAGGATCAGGCTCAGGCTCAAGCTTAGGCTCAGACTCAGGCTCAGACACAGGCTCAGGATCAGGCTCAGGCCCAGGATCAGGCTCAGGCTCAAGCCCAGGCTTAGGCTCAGACTCAGGCTCTATCTGCGGTAGATCGAGATCTCCAGCTTGATCTTTATAGAGCAATACGTCTACCGTAACCCGTAATTGTCTACAATAACCGGTTAGTTATGATAAGGTTACGGAAAGAACGAGATCTATGAAAAATCAAAAATCATTTCACCTTCCAAACAGCTTCGGCAATTTTATGCGAATACAGGGGACTCACGTGATGATGACGAACCCATGACTGAAAAGAAGAAACGTTTAAAAGTTTCCTAATTTTCTAATATTCTGATTCTTCTGATTCTGATTATTTGACTCACTTTTGTGGCATATTGCAAAATGTAGCGAAAAACGGTGAACAGAACGGCCAAGACGAGCACCGTCAAGAGGGCATTTGAAGTGAAATGCACATGACGAAGGTGATCTGAAATCGAGGCTAAAAACCCGATTCGATAATCTCCTAATTTGATGCAAAGTATACTACAATACTTATCCAGGTTTAGGCCCAGGTTGGCAGCACACTTTGAGTTCAAGCTATTGTTCAAGCTATTGTTCAAGTAATTCCTTCAGCTAACTAACGAAGTCAGCTAACTAGGTGAAAACTCGTCAATAGAGAGAGACAGTATAGAATCACGTTCAACAAAAACGGGAAGCAGATTCTGAATCAGCATGAAATTCTGCGTCAAATGGTATAGGTCACATAGTATTTGACCGACTCAACCAGTTGAGCTTCCCTTGTTAGACTACGCGACGCTCCTATGTGGCAGACTTCTATTAGAGGCGGGCTTCTAGTAGTTCTTCTATTCGCGGTAAGTACTGTATTTCTGTAGCAATTGGTTTTACCCACTGAAAGCTCGTTATTTGTCTACTGTATCTAGGCCCAGATTTAATTAAAAGTATCCGTAAACCAAAATTCTCTATAAGATTACCGATGAACGCTCCAAAAATCGATTGCTCTGGATGCAAAGCGGAGAATCGGCTCAAGAAATGGGGCATCGATTCGCGACATAATCCAAACTGAAAATTAAAAAAAAATGGAAAACTGAATCTTTTGGATTCTAGCATAGCCTAAGCCTAAGCCTAAGCCTAAGCCTAAGCCTAAGCCTAGCCTAAGCCTAAGCCTAAGCCTGAGTTATCAAGATCAAGATCAAGATGGTTATCGATTACCAAGATATTATCGTATCGTTGGTCTAATTCTCTGTCTAATTCTAATTTCGGTAATTGTAAGATAATTGTAAGATTTCCTGTACTGTCTGGTTGATGATTTACTTATTTGTTGGGTTTATTTGTCTGGGGGCAAAGGCCGATCAAACAACCGCCCTTTCGATTTCTTCACTCGTGTCTGGCGCTCGACTATTTACACGTTTTCTCGAAAAAGACAAGTGTTCAAGATATGAATGACCAAGATTACAAATAAGTGCCATAATTTATAAGTTAAATTCATTCACTAAATTCATTCACTAAATTCATTCACTAAATTCATTCGCTAAATTCATTCTTGAATTGCGCAAGAGTGTTAACAAATATAAAATAGTTTAGGAGCAGTCTTGTTTCGGAATCTCACGGATACTCAAAACTTAAAATCACATAAGCTAACAACAGAAAATGGGCTTGTTTCAAGCCGCCAAAAGGTTTCGAGACTTATAACAAACTTCTAGAAGTTAAAGTTAAGGTTTTGTGGTCCTCCTTGAGGTCCTTGAGGTCTAATTCCAAATTTACCCTGGCAGAAATCTACTTACGCACCAGCGTTATCGGATCGGCTGTCGACACACGATAAATCCTTGGAGCATCCATTGAAAGCTCGGGTCCAAGCATCCCCTAGAATAAAAACAGAAACGTAAAACAGAATGTGCGAGGTCCAAAAAGCTGAGTGAGAATTAGGGAAAGAAACGAGAAAAAGGAAATATTGGAAGCGTTAAGGGCAACCGTTGAATGAATGGTCTCCAATACAGAGAGACACAAATGGGAGAGGTGGAAAAGGCGGAAAGAATGGGGAAAGGGATTGGGAAGAAGTTTGGATCTTAAGAAATGCTTAGTTATTACTTGAGTGCTGTAATGATTCAGCGTATACTGAAGCTTAATATTAGTTTATAGAGGACAAATGGAAATTAGTGAGCCGCCCTACAGATAGCTCAAATGGTTCTAACGTAGTCAAAGATTGTTTTCAAACTACTAACTGCTCACTGGATTGAGTGCTCGGGCAATCGAACATAGAACTGGATACATACCATCAAAGCATCAAAGCTGTGCTAAAGCGTTTAAGTACTCGGTTAAACAACCGCTCCACACAAACTGGCAAAACATTGGCGCGAACGGTCACACGATGCAACAACCAATCCATCCATTTCAAAGTCATTTTACTTTTCCTTACTTCAAACTTATTTATTCAATGAGAGAACTCAAAATGTGTAAACGGCACAAAGCGGCCTAAATTAGCGAACAAAGCAAACGTGATAAAATTTAACAATAACAAATGTGCAAACAAAAACTTCTTGCGAAAAGTCGTTTAGGCAGTCGAACGGTCGGTCTCGTTGTAGGCATCTTTGTCATAGTAATTATCAATGTTGTCGAGCAAGTGCTTCATCAAGTCAGAGCTGTGCCTAAAATAGAAAATTGTGTTTGAGGTTTGAGAATTCATTGAGCGACAACACTTTTCTAATCTTTGAAACGCACTTGAAAAAGCTGTAGTGATCACATGCATCGATGAAATTGGAATCACCGTTGATCTTCACCAAGAGACGAAGCAGATACACAACACCGAAATGTCTGATAAAATCTTACAATAACTCAATAAAATATGACTCACTCGGAAGGCGCGAATGGCTTCATCAAACCGTTGTTGTTCTTCTCCTCAATCTTCAAAAGTTCATCCTCAAGTCGCTGGAATTGCTGTTTGTCCCGATCTACACAGAGACACCTGCTAAAACGTTATCGGTAAAGTATTTGAAAATGAAACGCACGTGAACAAAGAGTTGATCAAACGTTCCATCATGTGCGCATAAGCAGTGAATTCGTGTTTTGTTGTTTTTTTAGTGACCTTCTCTCCGTCTACATATTGAACCTCAACCTAAACATTAAATAAAATGGACAAAATGATCAAGCAAACCGTCATCTCTCCTTCCCCTGAAGCTGCGATTTTGGCACAAAACTCTTGGATGATCTGACGGACGGTGACTTTTGCCGGCATTGCTATGTAGAGTCCCAAGTTTGTCATTTTATGGTAATCATCACACAAGATGTCTTTCAGTGTTTCTGGGAAATCAAGAGGAGACTAAATTACCAACTTAATAGCTAGCTGAAAAATCAAAAATACTGTTTGCCCCTTTGCTTCTTTCTTTGGTGCAGATGGAGTTGCATCGCTTTCACCACCGCCTACAGCAAGTCGCTTACGTCCTTTGGCTCTAGCCTTCACGCCCTTGATTTGCTTCTAAAATACTCTATAACTAAACACAAAGATTAAATTTACTCTTGCAGCCTCCTCAGCTTCTGCAGTGAATGCTTCCCATTTGCCCGTCTCGCTTTCAGGAATGACTTGATCCCACTTTGAAGACCAGCTCTAAATTAAAAGATTATTATGCTATTGACAGGCGCAGGCTTCATTATCTTTCTATCCAAGTACCAATAAACAAATCCACTCAGATTCCAAAAAATACAAATTCCTTACATCGTAATGAATCTTGTAATGAGTCTCGCCGTCATTTTCGCTAACATTGATGATCTTAGCCTTGTAAAAGCATCCGTTCCAATCGGCCATCACAACGTCACCCTTTCTCCACTTCATGTTTCGAGCGGATTTCTGAACGAAAACAATGTAAGAAATGGTTTGAAATTAAATGGAACCAAACATGAAACTGTATGATGCCGAAAATGAATGCAATCTATGAGTTCTTCTTGTTTTAATTATAACTTTTGCAACTAATTTCTTTCAATAGTGCAAATATAAAAAGTAACGCGAATGGTGCTAAACCAATTGCTGGAGCCAAAAATGCTAAAGAAATTCTTGCCACACACTGCCACAATAGACACCAAAACTTTAAAAAAAATGCGAAATCAGCAAGAACGCGGCGATTGAGAAATGATTTTTTTTCCTTTTTTAGTGCGCCTTTATATGGTAAGGTTACGGTATATAGCGACGCAAAAACGTCTGAAATGGTGGAGTACGGTCACGGGTGCGCGAAATAAAAACATTTTTGGCGTTTATTTAACCCTTTGAGAGTTCCGGGCTTAAAGTTAAACAATTTACTTCATGATAATGGATCTTTTGTTAGCACTAGTGCTCAGATTACAAATTTCAAGTAGTAGGGCTTTATAACCCAGTAGATACAGTGGAACTATTGGATTCTAGAAGACTCGAGCAAGATTTACGTAAGCCTATTTCCATTCATCACCAAATTTGCGTTGTTTTCTCAAAATTTGCTTTTAAAGCCCAAATAAAAAAGAGTTAAACCCTAGTTCAAGCCATATTTCTTTTCATAATTAAACTTATCAGTATAGTTTTTGGATTACCTTTTGGCAAACTGAATAATGTTCAATGTTTTTTTAGCCCAGTAGTGGCGCGCCGGTGGCTCTCGTTCTTCGATACATGCCGATCGCTCAAAGAACCGCGTCAAGTCGCTCAACAAATCCAAAGGCCAGCAATCGAACAACGCAATCGACAAAAAGCAATCGACAAAAAGTCACACTCGAGGGCAATGGAGAACTCGAAGGACGACAAGTAAACTTCTGTTTCTAGACTTTGTAAAAAAATAGTTCGAAGTTCGCCTGCAGACAGAGTCAAGTCATACAATTGTAGTCGAATGCCTGAATAAATTTTAGCTATAACTTTGACTTTTATGGCTTTTCCCAAACTTACATCATCTTTGTGAAATTCCTCAGAAATTCCTGTGAAATTCCTCAAATTACTCGACTTTGTCTGCAGGCGAACTTCAGAGGATTCCAAAATTAAAAAGAAAAGTCAAAACATCCTAGCCGGGTGTTTTTTTTGTTGTTGTTTTTATAATAAAACCTAATGTTTTATAAAATAAAAACATATTAATCTCCAATTAATTCACCACGTGCTCGATCAAAGCAAAAAAAAAAGCAAGGCAAAAATTGCTTACAAACTATCTAATCAATGATTTTAAAGGCTTGTAATCAATGATTAAGCTGTTCTCTTTAGAAAAAAAAACTTTTTCGCTACGGGCCTGTCTAAGTTGTCTTTCTGAAAACGATTCCTGAATGAAAATAAAAAATTTCCTTTCTTTCTGAATGAAAATAAAAAATTTCCAGTTTATTGGATAAAATATTAATGAACTATATAGAATATAGAAAAACTATATAGAATTATCCACAAAATAATTTTCTTTAGTTTTCCGCAATTTGGCGAGTCTTCTTTGGCGATGGCATTTCACCTGGAAAAGTTTTTTGCGCTTACAAGGGAGGTTACCTTACTTGACGCTTACAGTTCGTCAAGTTACCACAAGCTTTTAAAACGTAGCCTAGCCAGTGTAGACCAGTTTTTCGCGCTGATTCCGAATCTGTACTCAAAGCGCGCTTCTAAAAAACCTAGGTTTCAGAGGTCGCGTTTCCATTGACCAAAACACAAAATTAAAAAACAGCTCCCGACTAACTTTTTGCGTAGAATTCAGAAATTTGCTTTTTGAGGCTAGTTTATGAGCTAGCTTTTCATGAAAAATTATTTTGACTTTTCGACGCAGAATATTGAAAAAATCTCATTGGAAAATAGAATACCACAAAAACTCAATTCAGTATTTTGAAAGAGCGTGATAAGAGCTATCGAATGACATATAATACGCCCTCGGAGGCCAGGAAAAAAAATGGTATCTGCGCAAACATACACCGCCTTTAAGAAAGAAAGTTAAGGGAGAGAAAAAAAAGAGAGAATAGTGTAGTGTTAGTGCGCTACGTTCACGTTTTTGCATCCCTGGTTCGGATTCGGATTTTTCTTTTTGGTTTTTTTAAAAGAGTTTCTTACGCTTTTTTGTTTTAGCACTTTATAAACAAAAGTTGAGAATTCAAGAAAAATTTACATATCCAATTTATAAAGAAATTATTTCAAATGCACTGATGTGTTGACACAGAGTGTCATTCTTGGTTCTTTAGCTCTGATAACAGCTCTGATAACAGCTCTGATAACAGCTCTGATAACAGCTCTGATAACAGCTCTGATAGCAGCTCTGATAACTAACTTTTAGCAGGTTGGCCCCCCTATAGATATTCAAAATGGTCAAAGAAAAAAAGTGTTAGAAACTCTTTTAAAAAAACCAAAAAGAAAAGTTGCACCCGGATCCGAACCAGGGATGCAAAAAGGTGAGCATGGCGCACTAGCACTACACCATTCGGTCACTTTTATCTCTCCCCTAACTTTCTTTGTTAAAGGCGATATCTTATTTGCACAAATATTGCGCAAATACCAGTTTTTAGCCAACTTTAAAACCATTTTTCCTAGTCTCAGAGGGCGTCCGGGTAGATTTGAGTACAGATTCGGAATCAGCGCAAAAAAAAAACTGGTCTAGATTTGCTAGGACACGTTTTAAAAGCTAGTGGTAGCTTTTAAACATCTCTTGACGAACCTCTCTTGTTAGGTTCAAAGTATAGAAGTATAGAAGTTAAAAGTATAGAATTCTATAAAACTTACAATTCTCAATTCTTGATATTCATTTTTCTTTTGCACACTCAATCTCTCTTTTCTGATGTGTATTCCGTTGAAGAGATGCTCGTAGAGACACGAAATCACAGCCCAGTCAAAGCTGGGTAGAACTTTGTTCGCTAAAATTGATATCTTGGGGTACTGTAAAAAGGATACTGTAGCAGGTGGTTTTATTATGGTTTTTTATTTTTTATAAAATTTTATGGTGTGAAATAACCGCCCAGAAAAGAAAAGAAAAGTAAAGATGCTCTGAAATTGTTATATTTTAAAAAAGTTGTATTGATATATCCTATTGGCCAAACATCAAACGGTTAACTCAATTTGAGCGGTGCCAAAACTTGATCCAAAGGCACCTCGGCTGGCTCTGAGTCCCGAGAACTGGTTCTGAGTCCCGAGAACTGGCTCTGAGTCCCGAGAGCTGGCTCTGAGTCTCGAGAGCTGGCTCTGAGTCCTGAGAGCCAAAACTTGATCCATTTTTTGGCCACCTCTTCTTCTGTGCAGTCAATTTGCCCAAAAGCTGGACAAATTCAAAAACTTTTTATATCAAAATGTAGAGGAGATCTTCAGCTTTCGAATAATACTCATATATATCTTTTTCTTGATTTCGATATCTTGAGAAATTTACAAAATAGTAAAAAAACGCGCATTCATAACTGGACAACCCAATACAATACAGGGTGGCTGAAAATTACGCACCATCGATTCTGTAAAGAAGCGAATTGAAGCCTGTATCAAAGCGGATGGAGGCCACTTCGAAAATTTCTTGTAATTATTAAATGCTTTTGTTACAACTATTATATAAATAAATATTTTTACATTTTCTTTGAAGGAAAATTAAATTATGGCGTTTTCTTTGGCGCACGTAATTTTCAGCCACCCTGTATACTGGCAACTAATGCCTTTTTCTAAAACGTGTACCCTTTCTACCGTAATCCTGTCTCTAGCTCTTATCCATTGAGGGCTCTTATCCATTGCGGGAGTAAAGAAAAGCGTTTCACCTCCAAAATGTAGCGTCTCAACGAGCTCGGGTAGATCCTCGACTCCAAGAATGCAAATACTGTTCCGTTGGAAATGACTTTTGCAATTGATCGGGGAATAATGATGATTCCAATGGTCTAATCTAGAAGAATTGGGGGGTTTTTTTGATTTGGGGGTATATTTGATTTCACCTAGTCAATGGTCTATTTAATTTTACTCCAAGTTCACAGTCATCGATCGATCCCGGCATTCCCAAATCCACACTTGCATGCAATGTCGGCAACCAGAACTCGTCGACACCGTATTCCTAGACAAGTGTGAGTTCGTTGAAATGTACTTTAAGGTATCTTTTTGGCGCAAGTTATGTAAGTTATGTCTCTAAACGCACTCTTTCTGGTGAGTTAATTCCCTCTAGAGTAGGGGAGATCAAGTGCGTTGTAGTGTAAGAAGATTTAGCAGTTAGCTAATGGTTAGCAAATTTGGCCGGTAAACGAAAGGTCATGAGTTCGAGTCCCGGCGACGCGTAATTTTTTGATCTGCTCTAGTTCCAACTGGTGACCAGGAGAGGATGGGATCTGCAATGCAATGACTTGATTGAGATCCCTGAGATCTTGTTCCCCAAGATCGACCAAACGAAAAAATCGAGAAGCAAAAGGAAAACCCAAAGCGAGGATCGAACCCGCGAGGTCTCGCTCTGGAATCGAACTCTCTACCACTTGACCACGGCTGCACTCAATCGTGCTCGCAAGGAAGCCGCTAAAGGGCTAATAAGAGACCTAAAAGACCTAAATGACCACATTTTCATTCAGAGTCCTGTTAACTCCCTCTGGAGCAAGGGAGCACAGGTCCGTTGTGGTGTAGTGGTTAGCAAATTTGGCCAGTAAGCGAAAGGTCGTGGGTTCGGGTCCCGGCGACGCGTAATTTTTTGATCTGCTCTAGTTTCAACTGGTGCAACTTTCTTAAGCAAAAGTTTTTTTCTAAAGTAAAGTAAAAATCAAGCAACTTTCTTATACAAAAGGCGCGATTTTAAAAAGTTATGTGTGCCAAAAAGGATCTGTTTACAAATTTTAAGCACCAAGCACGTACAGCTATGGGCAACACGAAGTTCTAGTGCACTCAATTCTTTACTTTTGCTTGAAACTGTTTACGCAGCGCACTAGATTTCAACTTGCACCAAACTTGCACCAAACTTGCACGAAACTTACACCAAACTTGCACCAAACTTTGACAACTTAAGTGACACAGAAAGTGTGTGTGTGTGCTTCTCAAAAATCTAGCTGCGAAATCTTTTTGAACCTTCCAATTGAACTGATCCAACAGTTTTGTCATGTTCACTTTTTCGACAATCCATTTAATCGTTTCTCGGTGAAGGCTCGCCTGGATAAGACCGGCTCGGAAAATGAGTTGCGCTTTATTGCGGGGATCACCTTCTGAAAGTTGGCATTGAGATTTGAGATTAAGATTGGAGTCTGTCTCAAATGATCCGTTTTGCTGAATCAGTGCTAAGTGCTTGAATCAGATTGCATCATTCTCGCAGTTTTCTAGTGAGAATACAGCCAGATTTGAGGCAAAAGTCGTCAATCACCGCTCCTTCCCCTTTACCGATTCCAAAAGGATGATGGATTGCAAAAGGAAAGCTTCTTATATCAGAGTTCTTTGCCAGATCGCGAGCGATTACGCGGCTCCACAAAGAACACTTTACATCGAGATTTCTCTTTTGCTTTGTAGATGGCAAGATATTCAGCTGCAAATTTGTACTCGGGGATTTTCGAGGTCAAGGAATCGATTGGAGCTATTCATTTTATTGATTCTATCAATTAGAATACCAAAGTAACGCTTTGAATAATCGGGAGCCAATTTAGCTTATTTAGGACAAGGACGGGAGCCAATTTAGCTATCTCTATCCATCAATGCACTGATTTTAGTGAAAAGCATCTATTGCCAAGAGGATAATGATTGTTTTCGTGATTATGATTGGCTTATTGATAGATTTTCGTTTTATCCCCTTTCTCTTTCTACAAGCTGATTCCTTGACAAATTCAATTCTCATTCACTTGGAAACAATCCCAAACTTGAGACATTCCAGTCGAGTTTTTGATTGATTCGTTTCTGTTGTGAGATCGTCTCGTTCATCAAATCGTTTGCTCCATTCAAAATGGTGAAAATGTCGGAGAGAATCGCGGTGGATTTGAGAAGAATGTCGTTGTTCTAGAAACGTGCAAAGAATTCGTTTATCTAGAAAACTTCTAGCCGAATTTCTCTCTGCACAAACCTGTAACTGAATGAGATATTTCCATTGTGGCGCCACTTGCAAAAGTTTCTTCATACACGTATAATGTGCCCAATTTTGATTGAAACCCGTGCTCTTCAAAGAGAGATTTTCTGAAATTCCTTGGAATTTTATGAGCTATTCGTTAATTTAAATGTAAACTTGAGAAGCCGAAAGCCGAAAGCCAAAAGCCGAAAGAGAAGCCGAGTAAGAGCCTTTCAAAAGATCTTCTCTCTTTCCCCTTGTACTTCCTCTTTCTTCTCTCTGAGCTATAGCTTTCTGTGCAGATGCTCTAACCACTGAGCTATCCGGTAAGAAGATACCGGATTTCTTCTTTCTTTCTTCCTTTCTTCTCCTCCCTTGTCTTTCCTTCTTTCTCTTGGCAAGTTAAGGTACCGGATAACTCAGTGGTTAGCTCAGGTACCGGATAGCTCAGGTACCGGATAGCTCAGGTACCGGATAGCTCAGGTACCGGATAGCTCAGGTACCGGATAGCCAGGACCGGAAGCCAGGTACCGGAAGCTCGGACCGGAAGCCAGGACCGGAGCCGGCCGGATGCCAGGTACCGGAGCCGGTACCGGATAGCTCAGGTACCGGATAGCTCAGGTACCGGATAGCTCAGGTACCGGATAGCTCAGGTACCGGATAGCTCAGGTACCGGATAGCTCAGGTACCGGATAGCTCAGGTACCGGATAGCTCAGGTACCGGATAGCTCAGGTACCGGATAGCTCAGGTACCGGATAGCTCAGGTACCGGATAGCTCAGGTACCGGATAGCTCAGGTACCGGATAGCTCAGGTACCGGATAGCTCAGGCTCGGAAAACTGCTTTCCGGAGAGAGGATTGAATCCTCGATTTTTTGCTAGTGGTTAGAGCATCTGCACGGAAAGCAAAAAGCAAAAAGCAAATAGGTCGAGGGTTCAATCCCCTCTGGAAGTCTTTCTCTGCTCTTTACTTTACTTTATTACTTTACGAATTACTGTTAGCGTTTGGTTACTCCAATTCCAATTGGTTTTATTCCAAGATTTCAAACAAACCACTAGCAATGTGTACTGTCGGTACGCATCGCTCCAATTGTCGCATATTTCTCTTGAAGGTCGATGCCGAGTTTTTGTCGATCACAAAACAGAAATGAATGTCGGGATGACAATGGGCGGCTACGGACAATTCGTGAAACTCGTAATCCTGTGAAAGATATACTATTTAACGTAAACTGTATAAATTTGGATTTCTTATCATTTTTCAAAGTCCGAAGCTGTCACAAAAAGTCTCTCGAAACGTTTTCATGCAAAACATTCATTTTCAAAACATGTTTTCATGTTCAAAACAAAACGTTTTCAAAACTTTCAACAAACTACCGTAATCTTGTCTCTATTCTTATCAAATCTATCGTATTTTCTCTAATAGTAGTGCACTCTGAGCGTCGCCTAAATTGCTCGAAATCTCGAGAACCTATCGACCTATCGATGTATCAGAACCTATCGATGTGGGGTCGGAAAATGTAGCTGACGATGAGATCTAGTGGGGGATTTGAGTGTTGAGCTTCTGCAGCTTCTGTGAAAACTTTGAAAGCCGTAAAATCCTCATCAATTCGGCTCGGCCGGGGTGCACTACTATTAGAGAGAAAACGGTGTTTTAAAGTGTTTTAAAGTGTTTTAAAGTGTTTTAAAGTGTTTTAAAGTGCTTTAAAGTGTTTTAAAGTGCTTTAAAGTGTTTTAAAGTGCTTTAAAGTGCTTTAAAGTATTCACTTTTACTTTAAAGTACAGCAAATATATGATAGAGTAATCTGTTTTCTGATAGAAAAAAAGCACATACCGTTTTTTAGTCTCTAATAGTAGTGTATTCTCTCTAATAGTAGTGTATTCTTTCTTTGTTCCTGGAGGAACTATGAAGTTATCTTTTATTGGAAGGTTGGAACTAGAGCAGATTAAAAACTCGTGCGCCGCCAGGACTCGAACCCGAGACCTAAATTGCTCGAAATCTCGAGAACCGCTTATCAGAACCTATCGATGTGGGGTCGATTCCTTAAGGGCGATCCTGCTTGTTACAGGACACAAAAGTAGGCCCATAGGTAACACCTTCACCAAACTCTTGAGATAATACGATCAACAAACTCTAATCGATCCAAACTCTAATCGATCCAAATAATTATTTGTCGGTCAAAAAACTCTAATTGATCCCGTATTCGTATCAAATACCGTATTCTCTCTAATAGTATCCTATCTAATAGCATTCTCTCTAATAGTAGTGCAGTCCAAGCTTCGCCTAAATTCCTCGAAATCTCGAGAACCGCTTATCAGAACCTATCGATGTGGGATCGGAAAATGTAGCTCACGATGAGATCTAGTGGGGGATTTGAGTTTTGAGCTTCTGCAGCTTCTGTGAAAACTTTGAAAGCCGTAAATAGTCACCAACTCGGCCGGGGTGCACTACTATTAGAGAAAATACGGTATCCACTTTTTGTATCTCTCGATTTCTTTGTGGATCTTTACAAAATCAAAAAAAAGTGTATAGATTGGATAAAAAGTAGAAGATTATGGTAGAAAGAGAAAGGGGACACGCTTTAGAAAACGCTTTTGAGCACAGAGTGGGGTAGTCGGGGTTAAAAAAGATCACGCATTAGATTGAATGAAAATACGAAAAAGGTTCAGTTAAATCAAAAATACCGTAAATAAAAATACCGTAAATATTCTAATAGAAGAGCCCTCTATAGGAGAGTCGCGTAGTCTAAGTTTATCATCAAACAAACGCTCATAAGACTAAGAAGACTCTCATAAGACTAAGAAGACTTTCATAAGAATAAGAAGACTCTCATAAGAATAAGAAGACTTTCATAAGACTAAGAAGACTCTCATAAGACTAAGAAGACTTTCATAAGACTAAGAAGACTCTCATAAGGCAGAAGACCCATAAGCAAGAAGACCAAGGGCCAAAGACAGGCAGAAGAGACCAAAGAAGAAGACCAAAGAAAGAAGCCAAAGACTAAGAAGACCAAAGACAAGAAGACCAAAGAAAAGAGACCAAGATAAGAAGACTCATAAGACTAAGAGACCTCATAGACTAAGAAGACCAAAGAATAAGAGACCAAGACAAGAGACCCATAAGACTAAGAAGACCATAAGACTAGGCCATAAGAAGAGTTTCATAAGACTAAGAAGACCAAAGACAAGGACTTCATAAGACTAAGAGACCCAAAGCAAGAGCCATAAGACGCCAAGGCAAGAGCCCATAGGCCATAGGGAGCTCTCATAAGACTAAGAAGACTTTCATAAGAATAAGAAGACTTTCATAAGACTAAGAACTCGTCAGACTGCAGTTTCTCCCACGCCGCAAACCATGTTAAAATGATGTTTGAGAATTTTTTTGTCTAGAAACTAGAAACTAGAAACTAGAAACTTTAGGAAACACAAAATCTTAGAGAAGCTTTAGTTGCGATGGCGTCGAGAATGCAAAAAGGGAAACAGAAAGAGAAAAAGAGAAAGAGAATTCGTCTCGATCTTTGAAATGATAAAAAACTTATCCAATGTAGCCTTTCAAAGCCTTGTTTTTTATTGTTAAAGTGTTTGTTAATTCTTTGCCATCAGGCCTTAGTGGTCTTCTTAAGTTTTTCTTTATTTTTTAAATCTCAGGCAATGAGAGACCGTTTTGGATCGCCGAACCAGCCTCAGACTAACCCTGCGGGGCCCAGCAACGGCAGCAGCCTTCGAGCGCCTCCAACGGGAAGCCGAAACTGAGGCCATGGCAGCTTTGGGTCAAATAACAACGATATAATGCATAACTAAGGCTTCTCTAAGATTTAGAAGGCTCAGGCAATGAGAAACCGTTTTGGATCGCTGAACCAGCCTCAGACTAACCCTGGGGGCCCAGCAACGGCAGCAACCACCTCCGCGCCTCCAACGGGAAGCCGAAACTGAGGCCATGGTAGCTTTGGGTCAAATAACAACGATATAATGCATAACTAAGGCTTCTTTAAGATTTAAAAGTGTTTCCTAAAGCTCCTAGCAAAAAAATTTCTCGAAAAATTTTTTCCTGGTCAAAAAAGTCAGAAATTTTTCTAAATCCATCTAATCAAAACCATCTAATCAAAATCAAAATCAATTTTTCTAAATCTAAGCGCAAAATCCGGCTGTGGGATGTCGAAATTCGTATTCAGCATGAAAAATGGGGTTAAAAAACGGATTTGAACATGGTTTAACATGGGGAACTTCAGTTGAGCCCGCGACACTCTTTGGACTCTTTGATTCCAAGTCCAAGGGACCCTTTGATTAGAATATTTATGGTATTCAATGAATTCAATCTCAACCAAGATCTCAACAATTCAATCTCAACCTTATAAACATTTCTCGCAATGGCAAAAGGAGATTCGAGTGGCTCAAACATTGTAGCGCCCATAAAAATCCTCTTTCGAATTTCCGCACAAGACATATTGAGTGGCTGTGGAACGAGGGAATGCCGATGGAGAAATGAGTTCTGATCAAAAATAGCATTTTAAACAATCAGTATTTACAATCAGTATTTACGAACAATCAGTATTTACGAACTTTAAATGTGTAAAGACGATCTGCCTGCAATAATCGATCACATTTCAAATTGGCCACCTCTGGTCGACGAACAAAGCGCGGGGAATGCTAAAAGTTATAATAGTTTTCAAAATTTATAATAGTTTTCATAATATTCATAGTTTTACATTGTGTAAGGATGAAATTTGCTCACCGCTATTGTCAAGTAAAAATATATTGAAAAAAGTAGACAACTCGGAAGCCGCATTACCAAAACGAAATAATTTATCGGTAGTTCCGATCGAAGTGACCTTCTTTCGTTGCAAATCCCCCCATTGAAACCATAGATCCGATCTAACAATTTGCACTTTTTTCTCGGTGAATCCTTATGGGATTACAGAATTATTAGAGCTGGTTCAGCCAAACATTGTCATGTCTCCTATGTCATAATATAAAGGAACTATAAAGGAACTATAAAGGAGCTTTAAAGGAGCTTTAAAGGAACTAAATAGGAACTATAAAGGAACTATAAAGGAACTATAAAGGAGCTTTAAAGGAGCTTTAAAGGAGCTTTAAAGGAGCTTTAAAGGAGCTTTAAAGGAACTAAATAGGAACTATAAAGGAACTATAAAGGATCTAAACAGAAACTATAAAGGAACTATATGAGACTTCATGACTTCCCGTCTTTGCCTTCCTTGCCTTTTGTCCAAAATCACCAAAGTCGATTCATATTTTAAAGCTCTTACTTTATAAATGCAGATTTGGTGAGCAAAGAGGATCCAATCGGAACATTCGATTCATTGAATGAATGGGAAACATGTATGGAAAACAACAATTGAATATCACAAGTTTCTTCCTGAAACGAAATGCCATAACGAGGCTTAATGACTTCCCGTTTCTCCGGTAGAAAACCTCTCTGGTAGAAAACTTCATTTGTAATTAAAAAACAGTTCTGGTAAATTTATTTTGCCAGAGAAGGTGGCATTTTTTTAAAGAATTTAAGCCATAAACTCGTAAAAGATTAGAGAAAAATATAGAACTTTCAAAAAGGCACAAACGATTTCCCTCAAAACAAAAAAAATCGAACATACAAATACCCGAGCTGAATTTTTGATCCAATAATTTCTTTTCCAGTAACTCGGATCGAGTGGGCCTTGACGCCAGGATCGAGTGGGCCTTGGCGCCAGATTCCAGGATCGAGTGGGCCTTGGCGCCAGATTCCAGGATCGAGTGGGCCTTGACGCCAGATTCCAGGATCGAGTGGGCCTTGACGCCAGGTTCCAGGATCGAGTGGGCCTTGACGCCAGGTTCGGGCCGGGGGGGGGGGCCACCAGGTCGAGGGGGGGCCTGGCGGGGGGGGGGGGGGGCCGGGGGGGGGGGGGGGGCTGCGCCAGGATCGAGTGGGCCTTGGCGCCAGATTCCAGGATCGAGTGGGCCTTGACGCCAGGTTCCAGGATCGAGTGGGCCTTGGCGCCAGGATTCCAGGATCGAGTGGGCCTTGGCGCCAGATTCCAGGATCGAGTGGGCCTTGACGCCAGGTTCCAGGATCGAGTGGGCCTTGACGCCAGGTTCCAGGATCGAGTGGGCCTTGACGCCAGGTTCCAGGATCGAGTGGGCCTTGACGCCAGGTTCCAGGATCGAGTGGGCCTTTAGAAAAGAGCCTTGGGCAAACCAAGTTTGTCATTTTTTTTGGCAAACATTTTTGTCTTGAATTTGAGTTGAGATGTATTCAATGTTTTTTTATCGTTTTTACCATGGTTTTCGATGTTTGTTTGTGTTTTGACTCATCAAAAAAACTTATAGTCCTTAAAATAAACAGCACAGAAATAGAGTTCTTTTCTCTTTTCTCATCGCATTCTGTTTGCCAAGTTTTTCACCTCAAATTAGAGTTTTCATTGATTTCTAATACATTTGTAGATCTTTGAAATAAAAAAAGACAATGTTTTTTGTGTTTATTGAACAAAAATAAACTCGAAACATAGAAATACAAAACTTTTTAAAAAGTTTGCTAAAATTGTCTATTTTCTCCGTCCATAATAGTAGTAAGTGGTGTAGCCGTTGCTGTTACTGTTTGCTAAAATAAATTAGAGGTGATTTGAGGTACAAGTACAGCTAGTACAGCTAGTACAAGTCATCTAGTACAGCTTAGCTAGTACAACTCAGCTAGTACAGTCAGCTAGTACTACTCAGCTAGTACTACTCAGCTAGTACAAGTCAGCTAGTACAACTCACGGTAGTAATTAGTGTATCCATTATTGTTATTGTTTGAATAAGTGTAGCCACTGTTAGGATAGTAATATGTGGTGTAGCCAGTGTTGTAGTTGTTGCTGTAGGTGCTTGGATAGGAATAGGAGCCAGTGTAGGATGAGGAGGAGACTGTTCCTGAAGCTTCGATATTTTTCAAAGTCTTCGTTTACTTGTTATTCAGGCTAAGAGATGAGATGCTAAAGCTACAGTATTTCAAGTCAATAAATAAGCTTTTTTTTAAAGCTAGGGCTTACGAGCTAGGGCTTACGAGCTAGGGCTTACGAGCTAGGGCTTACGAGCTAGGGCTTACGAGCTAGGGCTTACGAGCTAGGGCTTACGAGCTAGGGCTTACGAGCTAGGGCTTACGAGCTAGGGCTTACGAGCTAGGGCTTACGAGCTAGGGCTTACGAGCTAGGGCTTACGAGCTAGGGCTTACGAGCTAGGGCTTACGAGCTAGGGCTTACGAGCTACGGCTTACGAGCTACGGCTTACGAGCTACGGCTTACGAGCTACGGCTTACGAGCTACGGCTTACGAGCTACGGCTTACGAGCTACGGCTTACGAGCTACGGCTTACGAGCTACGGCTTACGAGCTACGGCTTACGAGCTACGGCTTACGAGCTACGGCTTACGAGCTACGGCTTACGAGCTACGGCTTACGAGCTACGGCTTACGAGCTACGGCTTAAACTTTTGACTTACCATCACATGTCACGCACACTCCATTCCCAGCTGATGTTGAAAAGTACTGTAAATTGGTGAATTGTTTATTGATTTTTGAAAACAACGAACCACTGAGGCATTTACGATGAGAAAAACGGAAATGAACACAATGAGATCTCTGAAAGTTTACTTTACTTTTGAAAATGATCAAGCAAATAAAAAACTTTAACAAATTAAAGGTTTTAAAATTTAAAACACTTACCTCAAAGCCATTTTAGCAAGTTAAGAGTTCGCCAAAGCTCGCCAAAGCTCCAGAGTTCGCCAAGGCTCAAGAGTTCACAAGATTTCACAAGAATTCACAAGAGTTCACTCAAGATTGGTTCACAATTTGATCTAACTGATGAGTGCCATCTAGCCAACCGGTAAACAGTGCTTATATCTTGAGTGACCGCCGGAGTCTCTCTTTTTCGGGAAAAACCAGAAAGCAAACAGATCCAGAGAGGAATGGACTCATAGTTCGGACTTCGGCATCATAACAGTAAAGGAAAGAAAAACGGGTACAGAGATATTTTAGACAAAATTTTGGGTTGCGAAATGTCGCACAAAGCACATTTGACCTCAATTTGACCTCAATGACTCATTCAACAAAAAAAATTTCACATATTTCAAAAACCAAACCTTTTCAAGCTCGTTCTTTGGTTTAATTTTCTAGATATAGCTTTGCATTCAGGCATTGTTTTAGGTTTTTTAAAATTTGAGGCTTAATGGATTGCTTTAAGGCTTAATTTGATTACTTTAAGGCTTAATTTGATTGCTCTGAGGCTTAATTTGATTGTTTTAAGGCTTAATGGATTGCTTTAAGGCTTAATTTGATTGCTTTAAGGCTTAATTTGATTGCTTTGAGGCTTAATTTGATTGTTTTGAGGCTTAATGGATTGCTTTAAGGCTTAATTTGATTGTTTTAAGGCTTAATTTGATTGTTTTAAGGCTTAATTTGAGTCATCGCAAAAAAGAACAAAATTTTTGCATGTGGGAATTGAAACCGAGGGCAAAAATGTTGCTGCTGTTTCAAACTGAGTACAGGTTTGAGTTTCAAACTGCTGTTTCAAAGGCTAGGTCTTTTATCCACGAGCTTTTCTAGATATTTGTTTCCCTTTTGTTTTGGGGTTGTAGCTGAATATTTAACTGAACTGAAAACGGAAAGTCAAGTGGGTGTGTTGACGAAATGAAATGAGACCTAGAAATGAAATGATCCGTTGGATGCAGAATTTTTTTTTTTTTTGCTGATTCCACTACGCAAAGAAAAGCCGGAGTCGAACCCAAAGGAAATCGATAGATTTTGCGACTAGCTTGTAACGTTTAAAGAAGATTATTCTTTGATTAATGAGATCTACGTTATCTACGTTGAGCCCACTGCTCAGTGAGCTCAGCTCTACAGTTGCAATTGGGAGTTTAGTGAGAAAAAGAGAGTTTCATCTGTGAGTAGTCTTGAATGTTGTTAAAAGTCGCAAAATGTTGTGCAAGACCATCACCAATCGATTCAGCATAGTCAAAAACCCCTGGGTGCAAAAAGTCAGCTCATTTCGGGGGGGTGGCTACTTTGCGCCAAATCTTTTGCGCAAGTTGCTATAACTTTTTTCTAAGTGAACCAATCTTTATGATTTTGGTGTCATTTTGTTCCACTTATTGAGATCTACAAAATGATACTAAAGAGCAGAAAGATTGGCTTACTCAGAAGAAAGTTATGACTCATCTAGGTCAGGACCATCTTCGTTCCGACTCTTCTGATCAATAACTTTCTTCTAAGTGGGCCAATCTTTCCTCCAAGATAAAAAGAGGACTCACCTTCCGATATGTCGAGTATGGTTTGCAAAGTTTCGATCTGGGGACAAATCTTTGAAAGATGTAGAGGGCCGTGGAGCGGTCGTGGAGCGAGAAGTGAAGAAAAATACCAAAAAATAAAAAGCTGGAAGCATAATTTGAGGAAATGTTGAAGTAACCAAACGCCCTTTCAACTGGTTCAATGCGGTTGTTTTTTTATCTGCGAGTCCCGCGAAATAGCCGACAGTTTTCAATTCACCAATCCAATAGAATGGAACTCTCTAATAGAACGACACTCATTAGACAACATTAGCGAAAAATGTTCTTGCTCTTAAACTCTTGCCGAAAAATTTGTTTTCCGAAAAAAAAAAACATCAAAAACCATTTTATTGTTTCAAAAAACTTGAATACCAAAATAAAATCACGTCTTTTAAGCCATTGATGAAATGACGGTGATCTTTTGTTTTGTTGAAACACGTTGAGGATCCCACAGAATGAGTACATAGGATAAACTAGAATTGAACAGCTTTGAACAGCTTTGAACAGCTTTGAACAGCTTTGAACAGCTTTGAAAGCCTTGAACAGCTTTGAACAGCAGCTTTGAACAGCTTTGAACAGCTTTGAACAGCTTTGAACAGCAGCTTTGAACAGCTTTGAACAGCCTTGAACAGCTTTGAACAGCCTTGAACAGCTTTGAACAGCCTTGAACAGCTTTGAAGCCTTGAACAGCTTCGAACAGCCTTGAACAGCTTTGAACAGCCTTGAACAGCTTTGAAAGCCTTGAACAGCTTTGAAGCCTTGAACAGCTTTGAAGCTTTGAACAGCTTTGAAGCCTTGAACAGCTTTGAAGCCTTGAACAGCTTTGAAGCCTTGAACAGCTTTGAAGCCTTGAACAGCTTTGAAGCCTTGAACAGCTTTGAAGCCTTGAACAGCTTCGAAGCCTTGAACAGCTTTGAAACTCAAATTCTGACAGCAAACATTTGTTTTTTTGTTTTGTTTAAACTTTCATTTCATCTTATTCCAACGTTTCATCCTTATTTCCAACAACAACATCTTATTTTATTCCAACAACAACATTTTCTTATCTTACCTAAACAAAATGGCACTCAATTGCCAGCTGAATGTACTGGTGACAACAAGAGGAACACTATTTGGTGGAAGCAGTCCTGTCACACAATATAAACCCATAAAATTGAGGAAATTTATGATGAAACTAGTGAGCATCTGAATGAAAAGTATTTGAATGAAATTTGTTGACTTATGATTTACTCATTGTTCCAAAGCTCTAATAGCCAAAGCTCTAATAGCCAAAGCTCTAATAGCCAAAGCTCTAATAGCCAAAGCTCTAATAGCCAAAGCTCTAATAGCCAAAGCTCTAATAGCCAATTTGCCTGTAACCTGTAAAGCCAATTTGACTTCTTTTCGAGTGGCCTCTGCTTTCTGTTGACTTGTGTTATCACGTCGAAAATCTCGCATCGTTCTCCATAGCAACACAAAAAACGTTCCATCTAGAAGAGCGGTTAATGGGAGAGAGATTGTGCCTGGTAGGATCTAAAAATTGGTGATGCTTTGGTGGTGGATCGATGTGTAATAGTGGATCGATAAACATAAAATCTACATTTACAAGTAATGTTTTTTTTTTTTGGTTTATTAGCTGGTTCAGTAGCTTTCTTTTTTTGACTCAATGACAAGTCATAAAGCTCAATGACAACTTAGAAAGCTCAATGACAAGTTAGAAAGCTCAATGACAAGTTAGAAAGCTCAATGACAAGTTAGAAAGCTCAATGGCAAGCTACAAAGCTCAATGACAAGTCAAAAAGCTTAATGACAAGCTACAAAGCTCAATGACAAGTCATAAAGCTCAATGTTTCACAGAAAAATAGTCCACTCGTTGTGTCGTACTTATTGTTTAGATGGATAAACGTCAAAAATCGAGTATCACCTCGGCTATTGGACTACAAAAACCCACTTATCACTAGTGGGTTTTCCTCTCAAGTAATAGTTTTCTATCAGGTTGGAAAGAAGAAAGTCCACGGAATTGTTTTTTACTTTTAGTTTATTAAATTCCTCGAACATGCGACGCAGACGCTGATAAGTGATCTTTTGATTGATATTGATTTATGTTGAGGTAACCAAACCCCTTTCAATGCTGTTGTTTTTTTTATTTCTGGAGCTGCCCAAGAGCTCAAGGGTCAGCTTCGACATGTCATTGTCATACACTTGTCAAGAACTTGTCTTGTCAAGACTTGTCAAGAACTTGTCTTGTCAAGACTTGTCAAGAACTTGTCAAGAGCTTGTCTTGTCAAGACTTGTCAAGAAAAAAGTTCTAGCCAAAGAAGTTCTTAAGGAAATCAATACTATTTATGGGCAAGATTCAATAAATTTTATAAATGGTACGATGAAATAAATGGCCTACAAAGCCTGCAAAGCCTACAAAGCCTACAAAGCCTACAAAGCCTACAAAGCCTGCAAAGCCTACAAAGCCTACAAAGCCTACAAAGCCTACAAAGCCTACAAAGCCTACAAAGCCTACAAAGCCTACAAAGCCTACAAAGCCTACAAAGCCTAGAAAGCCTACAAAGTTTCCCGTTTTTCTCACGTTTGACTGAACCACGAGGAGTGGCTTCTTTTTCCAGTTATAAACAATAAAAAAAAAGTAAAAGCTAATGAACCAAGATACACTTTGAAAGTCACATTTTATAGTTTAGAAAAACTAAATCACAAAGTTTACATGTACAGCACTGGACAATGAAATATCATATTTGAAAAAACACTTTCGCACTTTCGCGCGTCTGTAACTCCCTTGTCTTTACCGTATTTCTAAATATTAATATTACCATTGTGTAGCCCTTGAAAAGAGCTTTCAGACAAATGTATAACACTAATAGTTTAAATTCAAAGAGGAACCAAATTTGTAGAGTTTAAACTAACTAAACGATCGTCACTTTCGCGCGTCTGTAACTCCGTTGTCTTTGAGTTTAAACTATTAGTGTAATACATTTTCCGAAAGCTCTTTTCAAGGGCTACACAATGGTAATATTAATATTTAGAAATACGATAAAGACAAGGGAGTTACAGACGCGCGAAAGTGACGAAACGTTTTTCAAATATGATATTTCATTGTCCAGTAGTAGTATGACTTTGTAGGCATTCACCAAATCACCAAATTCACTCACCATTGACCAGTAAAGAATCGTGTACCCGCACTCACCGGCAAACATGAATGAATTCACGCCAAAGGGTACGTAAATACAATTACAGCTAGCTAAACATAGATTTGTTGAGTTTTTATTTAAATTTATAACATAACATAACGTTGAAAACTTTATGCAAAACTTTATGCAAAACTTACGAAGAAACAACGCTAAAAACGTCCCAAAAGGCTGTAAAAATAGAACCAAATATTGGAAGTTCTTTGTTCGCTCAAAACTTTGATAGTAAAGACCGTTGAATGAGATGGCAAAGAGACGATTGATTCCAAGGAAAACCTGAAAAATGCTAAACATGGGTTCATCGGCTCATCGATCACCACCATCGATCATCGATCATCACAAGCATATCATCGATATGTTTGTGGTGATCGGGTTGTCCAGGATTACGGGGACTAGGGGATCTTTGATATTGCTTTTTGCTTACAATTTAGATATTGTTTTCGTCTTTCTTTTGGTTTATTTTATTTATTTAATTATTGAATTACGATTTTTTTTCTCAAAAAATGTCTCTTTTAGAATGGCCAAGAAGTGAGTGTGCGATCATGGAGTTAGCTATAGATGCGGCTATGAAGCTAGAGATAGATGCGGCTATGGAGCTAGAGATAGATGCGATCATTAAGCTAGAGATAGATGCTATCATGGAGCTAGAGATAGATGCTGCTATGGAGCTAGAGATAGATGCGGCTATGGAGCTAGACATAGAAGCTATCATGGAGCTAGCTATAGATGCGATCATGGAGCTGGACATAGAAGCTATCATGGAGCTAGACATAGATACTATCAGCTAGACAAGCGTGATCTTCTGGCGATGGATATCTCTAAGCGATTGATGATACGCAAACAACTTGTTTACAACGCGATCAAACGCTTTTAAGAGTTAGGATGAAAGTATGATCGTCCCGGAAGTATGAATGAAAGTATGATCGTGGTAAAGCGATCGTTGTCTAAGGCTAACATCAAGAAGGTTCGAGATCAGCTATCCAGATCAGATTCAGCTATTCAAGGTTCTTTAAAAGGCACGCACTCTAGTAATAATCCCGGTAACAAAACTCTTGGTAAAACAATTTCAAAACTTTTGTTATAATGGATTATTGAATAAGAAGAAAATACAAAGAATGCAATCCAATTGGATCGAGTTATATTTCATTTTCAAACGTAAGAAAACGTAAGATCGATGAGCCGATCATCTCGTACTCTTTTTTTTGACAAAATACCGATTTTTGGTTATGGCAATTTTTGCTTCCACTGGCAATTTGGTTTGCGGTATAAAAAGGTGCTTCTGTTGGAGAGATCTAATAGAGAGATCTAATAGATAGATCTGATAGATAGATCTAATAGAGAGATCTAATAGAGAGATCTAATAGAGAGATCTAATAGATAGATCTGATAGATAGATCTGATAGATAGATCTAATAGAGAGATCTAATAGAGAGATCTAATAGATAGATCTAATAGATAGATCTAATAGAGAGATCTAATAGATAGATCTGATAGATAGATCTAATAGATAGATCTAATAGATAGATCTGATAGATAGATCTAATAGATAGATCTAATAGATAGATCTGATAGATAGATCTAATAGATAGATCTAATAGATAGATCTAATAGAGAGATCTAATAGAGAGATCTAATAGAGAGATCTAATAGATAGATCTAATAAAGAGATCTAATAGATAGATCTGATAGAGAGATCTAATAGATAGATCTGATAGATAGATCTAATAGAGAGAGGCCTTTTAATAATATTTTAAAACCCTTCCCTTAAGGAGGCTTCTATTAGAGTTTTTGCGGTAATTTCCAACACCAAATTTGGGTTTTCTTAATGTGGACTTTTCATTCTTTTGCCCATCTGGCTTTACCCAGTTTAGGCTTTGCCTAACTTTGACCACGGTAAATGTTTTGAAAAGTTTATGACTTGAGTGCATTCTAGACACAAGAAGCCTAACCTAACAAACAACTCACCTTTGGTGTGAGCTTCTGAGAGGATGCAGCATTGGCCAAGTTTGCAAAAATATGATCGAGAAACGGAACTGATGTTGTAAGTGTGCTAAAAAAAAAGAAAATAGAATATAATAATGATAAAAATGATACAATTCTTTACACTGAAAATACAATTCTTTTTGTTGTTTGCCTAACTTTGGCCTTTTTGTAGTTGCCTAATACAGTTTCTGAACTTACAAAGTAGCACACGGCACTGCCCAGAATAGATGACAAAGATTGACTAAAGTGTAGTTCGATAAATCAAATAACATGTAGTGCTTCACCAAATCTGAAATGAGAATTGAGAATTGAGAAAATTGAGCTAAAATAACAGGGTTTGAAGAAAATAATGCGCGTTTTTTTTTATCAAATCTATTTATTGACAAGCATCAAGATTAATCGGTAAGGTATTTTCTATTTTTATCGAATGATTTCTCACATCTTCTGCGCAGATCATAGCATCGTTGAATTCAAATGGTTCCTTGAAGGCTTTAGCTTAGCCGAACAGCTTAGCCGAACAGCTTAGCCGAACAGCTTAGCCGAACAGCTCAGCAGCTTATCTGGCTTCTCTAGCTTCTCTAGCTTCTCTAGCTTCTCTAGCTTACATAGCTCATATAGCTTATATAGCTTATCTAGCTTATTTAGCTTATATAGCTATAGCAAGCTATAGGCTTAGCTTATCTAGTTATAGCTTGAAGCTATAGGCTTAGCCAATCTAGCTATAGCTTGGAGCTTATTTATGACTTGAGATTATCAATCTGTACAACTCCCAAGAAGTGTTTCAACGTTCGAAATAAAAATAATCTGACGATGCAAGGCCAGGGGAGGTCAGGGGAGTTAAAAGTTTCCAACCTATTTCCTCAATTTTTTATGAGTGCGCTTTGCAGTGTGGGATTTAGCGTTATCGTGCAGAAATCGAACTCTTGACGGTTTGATCCCCAATTTCTTTCAAGCTTCGTTAATTCTTACTAAGTGCTTCGAGTAAAGATCTGCATTGACTGTTTGTCGAAGTTTTAGTGCATCATAACGTTAAGCCTTTCGAAATCCATCATAAACATGATCTTCGATCCATGGATATCGGGCTTGGGAGTGGTTTGCGGGGCTTCACCAGCAAGAAGTCATTGATTTTTTCGAGTGACATTGTCATAACTGATCCAAGTCTCATCAGAAGTCAAGATTCTGTCGAAAAAAATTGTGTGATTTGAAGCAAGATGGAGCTTTAAAGCTTTTGAAGCAACATGACGCACACGGTGACACGAGCATTTTGTTACCTTAGCTCAGCTCAGGTGACGAGTAGATGACATTTTGTTACCTTAGCTCAGCTCAGGTGACGAGCAGATGACATTTTGTTACCCTAGCTCAGCTCATTTGGAACCCATTTCATGTGGAACCTTTTTCTCAAGTTGATGCAAATGGTTTTCAATTATCACATGGCTAACGTCAGAAAACTTTCACTGATACAATTCTGCTAATTCCATCAATCAATTGGGATCAATAGCATTGAGCAAATGGTCGTTTGAGATTTCTAGAGAGCGCCCAGTATGTGGCTCATCGTGGGGCTTTCATTGCTGAAACCATTGACAACACTGACTTTTGCTGATACAATCATCACCAAAAGCTTTGACAAGTGAATGGCGAGATTTAGTAGGGGTTTTTCCTTGTTGGAAATCGTAGAGCACGGCAGCTTGTTGTCATCGATTTTTTTGTGATTCCACGAGCTTGTTGTCATCCATTTTTTTTGCAATAGAAATCACTATCAAAGTGAAAAAGAAAATGATTATATTAGGTTGATGCAAAAGTCTTTTTCATTTTTTTCGTACTTCCGTTAAAAAGTAACAAATGCACCAATGAACAACGTTTATTGCATTCGAAAGGCCAATTATTTTTCTGCAAAATGACATTAAAACGAGTTAAATGTCATGTCTAGTTTTTTTTGAGAGCCGAAGTCGGGAGTCAAAAAGGCGACGGCTCGATGATGCATTTTAGACGCTTTAGCTAAGGAAACCAATCTTGATGTTAATAAATAAAAGATAGAGCACAAAAAGTTAGATATTTTTTCAGATTTTCAGAGAAATTGATTCAGCCAATTTCTTTATAGAGGTTTTTTATAGATTTTTATGAAAAACCCGTTTTCACTCTCGAATTTGCTTGAAAGTGAACCCAAATTGACTTAAAAAGATGGGAAATTCAACAATAAACACTTTTCATTTAGAGCAAACCATAGGTTAATTGATGACTTTGTTATTTTTCTTTGTTATTAAAGAAGTACGAAAAAAATGAAAAAGACTTTTGCATCAACCTAATAAATCTAGTGACTACACAGTTTATTTTTGTTCAAAACTTTACGTAAGCAAACACTGGGCAAATTGCCAGCACCGGGAAATTCGAAGCACGAAATTTCAGACCGGGAAATTCGAAGCGCGCATTATTTTCTTCACAATTATATAATCAAAATGAATCTTCTGTTTTGTAAACATTATTTCATAAAGAACCTGCAAAAGAAGTCCTTTTCACAGCCAAAATACCGAGAAAACCAGTGATGCTGCCGATAAATCCGAGCTAAATTATTAGTCGTTAATTTGCTATCACTATCTCGAGCAAAGAACAAAAATCAACAATTCCTCGGTGCCACTTACCACCCCCATAACCAAAATCTCAATCAAATTCTCCGTTTGATCGACTTCATTTTGGGATAAAGCTGTCAAATTTGGATATAGATCGCCCATCGAATCGAAAAAACGAAAAAATCAAGCAAAGAAAAGTTTTCCCACTTCCCTGAAAAGTTTGCGAAAGAAAGCCGATCGCATTTTCGCATTTTCCCACGCAAATTTCAACAATTTTGTTGCCAGACAGAGTTTTTGTAGAAACGTAACGAAAAATGATTCGTTTTCATCGAAATTTTCCTGGAAATTCCCGGAATTTTTCGAATGAAATTAATGAACTTTTAAAATTTTAACTAAAATATTTTACCCACAATCTTTCCAAGTAAAATGAACAGGTTCATTGACCTCCAGAGCTTTATATTTATTATCTGTGATGCATTGACCAATCTACAACACTGGTGCATGATTGTATCGTATCTGAATTGAAAGCCTCGAATTTGGTCTTTTAGCTTTTTGATAAAATCAAACTTGGGCAGAGGAATAAGTAAATTTAGTGGAAAAGTTTTGTCTTTAATGTCTTGATCGGTTGAAAGGACAAAGGTGTACTAGACGTACAGTACTAGCCGTACAGGACGTACAGTACTAGACGTACAGGACGTACAGTACTAGACGTACAGGACGTACAGTACTGAACGAAAGATTATCACCTCGCAAATTTTTCTCTATCTTTAAAGAGCTATAACTCTGAGCTTTTCCATCGTAGACTAGAAGTGTTATAATGATTCTGAAAGTTTAAAAAGAGCTCTATAAGATGGTGTATTCGCTTTTTAAAAGTATTTAAATTTTTTACACATTTCGGGGTGTGCAAAATAGGGTTTGTTTTTGTAAATGAATGGTAATTGAGTGCTTGAAAAGCTTTTTGTGTTTGCTATTCGGCTGAGCTGTTCGGCTGAGCTGTTCGGCTGAGCTGTTCGGCTGAGCTGTTCGGCTGAGCTGTTCGGCTGAGCTGTTCGGCTGAGCTGTTCGGCTGAGCTATTCTGTTCACTTTTGGAGAGCCAAAAAATGGGAAAAACTAAGACAAGTAAACAAGTGTTCCGAATTATTTATTAGTTCAAAATTAAACAATCGATTTCGTGGGACAAATGAAGTAAAGTCCACATTGGGCACAATATTCTCCACATTTTGGCGAACAGCATCCAAGGCCGATGCAAATTGGCGGAAGACAAGAAATACAGTAAGGAAGTTTCATTTTATTTTCGATTTGTTTGTCTTTCATTTCGAATTCAGCCAACACGTTCATTGAGATGAAGATCAGAAAGAACAGACTCCAAAGGGGTTTTGCGATGATTTTCATTGGGAAATTTTCGAAAAATATATGAAATTGGTTAGAAAATCTTTATAAAAGACTGGTTGGGTTGTTTTTATGTGAATTGATTTCAAAAGATTCATTGCAGTGATTCAAATTCAATGAACTCAATGAAATTCAATGAATAAAACATCCTTTTCATAACAACGGTTTCGTTTTCGTGTTTGAATGAATCAGAAAGAATCTTATTAAATAAAAAATTCTGTGAAAAACTTCTAGAATCTCTGAACATCTGAATTAAAGTCGATTCTCAATAAATGGAAAATGAAAGTTATCGAAATTCTGATGATGGTCAACTATTGGGTTGGTGAATTGAATATATTGGCTATTGTCATATGTGACAGTTTGAGCACTTTCTTCAAAAGAAACCCATTTTGGTGTCAATGGAAAAGTTGTAGAGAATCAAAAATCAAGCTTATATCCAAATTTTCAGAACGATTCAAAAACTGGTTTTCAAGAAATGCCAGATTTACGCCAAATTGTGCCAATTTTTCACAAAACTTACATTTTAAGCTAAACTACTAACTGTATCTTTTTGGAAATTTCGCTATAAGCCTAATTTTTGACTCTCTACAACTTTTCTATTGACACCAAAATGGGTTTCTTTTGAAGAAAGTGCTCAAACTGGGACATCTCCAGTCCTCCATTTTCGAGTCTCACACACAAACCAAAATTCAACTACGAAAGAGGAATCCGCAAATTGCCTGTAAAATGGGCAGAAGTCATCAATAATAATGGAAATGTTTAATGATGAACACCATGTATGTTTAATATTGGGTTGGCGAATTGAAAACTGCCGACTATTGTCATATGTGACAGTTTGAGCACTTTCTTCAAAAGAAACCCATTTTGGTGTCAATGGAAAAAAAAAGACTGAAAAAATAAAACACGACGAAAGACTGAAAAATTCTTTGTGGCGGGGTCCTTTTATTGTGTCGGGTTACGGTAGTTTCCGACGTTTGGCGCGGAAACGTCTGAAAGGCAAAGTGTACGGTGGACGGTCCGAAAGGCATCTGTCGTCAGAATTTTATTATTTCAAGAGAGAATTCCTTTCAATTGATTTAAAGTAAAATGAAATTAAACCCAATTTGTTTAATTACTTTTTTGATTATTATTTTTAATTTATTGGGTTGGTGAATTGAAAACTGCCGGCTATTGTCATATGTGTGTGACAGACTTCTTTTGTTCTTCTTTTGTTTTTCATTTGTTTTTCATTTGTTTTTCATTTGTTCTTCTTTTGTTTTTCATTTGTTTTTCATTTGTTTTTCATTTGTTTTTGGTTCATTTCTTTGCCTCGCTTGCCTTTTTAATTCTTAAGAAGTTCCAGTGCTAAAATAGCCTCATTTTTGATGTTATTTGTTGTAAAATTTTCAGAATACGACTTCAATAAAAAGCTTTATTGTTCAATAAAAGCTTTATTGTTCAATAAAAGCTTTATTGTTCAATAAAAGCTTTAAATTATGTTCATCCATGGAAACAAATCAATACAATGACTAAGATGACAATCATCAAAAGAAGCAATACACCGATACCGATCAGGAACTTCAGAAGACCGATTTGTTTGTTTAGATGTTGGTTTTGAGCTGAAAATTAGTGGTAAATCGAGATTAGGGGTAAATTCAAGGTGTTGAGCTTCACCTGGAATGGCTTGAGGGTACATTTCGACGATTGATCTCATCTGTATTCGATCATACATATTTGATTGGATTTGCATCGAGTTTGCATTCACTTTTTGCTGAAAATAATGAGTATTTTCTCAGAAGTTAATGTTATGTTATATTGTTAATGTTATAAAATATGTTTTTTTTTTCTATTCACATACAAAATGTTCGAGTTTCGCCCGTCTCCATGCTTCGATTTCGATCTGATGTTCGAGATTGGCTTGTGCTTGGAATGCAGCCACTGTTGCCAATTCCAACTCTTCTATTCTATGCTGAAAATAAACTGAGTCTATAAAACTGTAATAGAATTGCTATTTTTATTGGATTTCAACTTTTAACTGCCGTTTCACTGAAAATAGATCTCTGTACTCGAAAGGAACGTTCTGTCTTTGCGAAAAAATGTTTTGGCCCTAAAAACGAGGTGGCTCTGAACTGTTACCCTCTAATTTTGATATCAAAAGAAAGCTGTATTCATTTGCTATCGATTGATGCCCAAATGCACATTGTAGCGCAAACCGTCGTTGAGAACAAAGCGCTCAAACTTTTTGCAATGTTACGTCGCAAACGTGGAGGGGAGCGGCCTTTATTACAGGTATTACAGCATTATACATGGTGGCTGAAAATTACGTGGTTTTCTTTTCATTGACAGCGCTCTGCAGACATATTTCTAAGAAGTTTATGCTTAAAAAGTAGCTACCGTAAATACCATAATTGGACCGCACTCCATTTCAATGATCCTAAGTCCTTTCTTGTTGTGATTGTTAAAACCTTACCGTAAATACTTTAATAGTACCCCACCCCCCTCGTACAGTCGCGTAGTCGCAAAAGTTTTTAGTATTTCATTTTTTGCAAAGCACCCGTACTTCCAAAAAATGCGTCTTTGGTATCAAAAAATAGCCCTGAATTTCAGCTATTTTTTGATACCTAAGCGCGCATTGTAGCATAAACCAGTGTCGAGAAAAACGCGTTCAAAGCTAGACTACGCACCACTCCGCACCGTCATTATGGGGGTGGGGTACTATTACAGTATTTACGGTAATTATTTCTAGTTTTTAACAATCAAAACCGTTTTACGAAAGCTCTTTTAGTTTTTTAATAATGCTCATTTTCGTAATTTTCAAAAAAGGCCACTGCCCCGCCGTCATGTTTCATCTTGGAATGAGAGCCGAATGGGAACGGAATGAGAAGCGAATGGGAACGGAATGAGAGCCGAATGGGAACGGAATGAGAGCCGAATGGGAACGGAATGAGAGCCGAATGGGAACGGAATGAGAGCCGAATGGGAACGGAATGAGAGCCGAATGGGAACGGAATGAGAGCCGAATGGGAACGGAATGAGAGCCGAATGGGAACGGAATGAGAGCCGAATGGGAACGGAATGAGAGCCGAATGGGAACGGAATGAGAGCCGAATGGGAACGGAATGAGAGCCGAATGGGAACGGAATGAGAAGCGAATGGGAACGGAATGAGAGCCGAATGGGAACGGAATGAGAGCCGAATGGGAACAGAATGAGAGCCGAATGGGAACGGAATGAGAGCCGAATGGGAACGGAATGAGAGCCGAATGGGAACGGAATGAGAGCCGAATGGGAACGGAATGAGAGCCGAATGGGAACGGAATGAGAGCCGAATGGGAACGGAATGAGAGCCGAATGGGAACAGAATGAGAGCCGAATGGGAACGGAATGAGAGCCGAATGGGAACGGAATGAGAGCCGAATGGGAACGGAATGAGAGCCGAATGGGAACGGAATGAGAGCCGAATGGGAACGGAATGAGAGCCGAATGGGAACGGAATGAGAGCCGAATGGGAACGGAATGAGAGCCGAATGGGAACAGAATGAGAGCCGAATGGGAACGGAATGAGAGCCGAATGGGAACGGAATGAGAGCCGAATGGGAACGGAATGAGAGCCGAATGGGAACGGAATGAGAGCCGAATGGGAACGGAATGAGAGCCGAATGGGAACGGAATGAGAGCCGAATGGGAACGGAATGAGAGCCGAATGGGAACCAAATCAACCTCGATTGGAAACCGAAAGGGAACTAAGTCAACCCCGAATGGAAAACGAATGGGAACCAAATTGGCCTCGAATGGAAACCAAATCAACCTCGAATGGAAACCTAATGGAAACCAAATTGGCCTCAAATGGAAACCGAATGGGAACTAAATCGGCTTCGAATGGGAACTAAATCAACATCAAATGGAAACCGAATGGGAACCAAATCAACCTCGAATGGTAACCGAATGGAAACCAAATCAACCTCAAAACCGGTTCCCATTCATTCTGTCATGATTTTAAAAGACTTTTGCAAAAGAAAAACATCTTTTACGAATTCTTTCCTCCTTTTTCCTCTCCTTTCTTCAGACACTCAAAAAACCAAGAAAAAATGAGTTTCATAAAGGCCTCAAATTTGTTTTCCAAATTTCAAATTGTTTTCCAAATTCTAAATGCTTAAAAAATTTGTTGATTAAAGTTGAAAAACTTTTCATTTGAAAGTTCAACTTTCAGTAAAACATTTATGAAAAAATTTCGAAAATTTCTCTCATTGTCCTACAAAATAACAGTCTTGTAATATGCATTTCAAGCTTTTCAAAGAGTTACCCGCTCGGTGCTTGTAGTCGAAATCACATCATCTGAAGGTAAATATGGTGGATCGTCAGCCACTTGATCATAATATTCACCAAATAAAGGAGGAGAAATTGTCATCACGAGTTTATAAACAGAACTAAATATCAAAATAAAACAGTTGATTTTAAACAAATGTTTGTAGTTTTTTGTGGGTTTTTTTCTGAATAAAAATCGATAAAATAGGCTTTCTTAAAGTGAAATTTTCTTTTATTTCTGGGTTAAAAAGATAAGAAGATTCGATTTGGTCAAAAAAAGGTAGAAAAAAGGCATAGTTGGGCAAAACTTTTAAACAAAACGAAAAGAAAAGAAAGAAAGAAAGAAAGAAAGAAAGAAAGAAAGAAAGAAAGAAAGAAAGAAAGAAAGAAAGGAAAGGAAAGGAAAGAAAAGAAAAGGAAAGGAAAGAAAAGAAAAGAAAAGAAAAGTCCTCCCCTGTGCTTATCCCTTTTATTGCCGAGAAGGGGCGATCCTTGGGATTGCCTAGGAGGACAAGTGGACTCAAGTGGGACAAGAGACTCTCATTTGGAGTCCCCCCTTCCCCTTACACTTATTTGTAATCTATTCGTCTTATTATACTACTGTAAATAAAGATACATATCTTCCGGGTCTATGCAACTGCAGTACAGGTCGGTCATTTCACAGGGACTCCCCTCTAATACGTTGGAGGAGTTGAGTTGGGTTGTCGGGGTGTTAGAGATGGCGGGATATCAAAAGGGATCCTCTCTCTTTAACTTAACCCAAATTCTAGTCCACATCCGTTTATACCTAGGAACGAATACTGGGTTAAAAAGAGAAGATTCGATTTGATCGAAAGAAAGGCATAGCTGGGCAAAACTTTTAAACAAAACGAAAAGAAAAGAAAAGAAAAGAAATTCGTTTGGTATAAATTTAAACATTAACATCGAAATAGAATTTACATATTTTGCTTATTTTGATAGAGAACTTGTGTGTAGAGTTCGGCAAACAAAACCAAAACCAAAACAGACCAAAACCAAAACAGACCAAAGCCAAAACAGACCAGAGCCAAAACAGACCAAAGCCAAAACAGACCAAAGCCAAAACAGACCAGAGCCAAAACAGACCAGAGCCAAAACAGACCAGAGCCAAAACAGACCAGAGCCAAAACAGACCAGAGCCAAAACAGACCAGAGCCAAAACAGACCAGAGCCAAAACAGACCAGAGCCAAAACAGACCAGAGCCAAAACAGACCAAAGCCAAAACAGACCAAAACCAAAACAGACCAAAACCAAAACAGACCAAAGCCAAAACAGACCAGAGCCAAAACAGACCAAAACCAAAACAGACCAAAACCAAAACAGACCAGAGCCAAAACAGACCAAAGCCAAAACAGACCAAAACCAAAACACCAAAACAAACCAAAACTCAATTTGCATATAAATTAACATGTAAATTTAAAATTGTAAAATGCAAATTTGCCTTTCACTTTTTCTCACTCGACAAAATCGCCGAAAAAAGGACCAAAACACGACCTCGAAATTTCGAAACAAAAAATAGCCTATGGGATAGATTTTTGGACGCTGATTTCAAATCTGCAAACAGATTTTCGCTAGCTCCTCCCAGTCGCGAGGGATTGGCGAGTTTTGGTTAGTTTTGGTTTTGGTTTTGGTTTGTTTTGGTTTTGGTTTTGTTATGGTTTTGGTTTTGGTGGTTTTGGTTTTGGTTAAGTTTTTTTTTCCGAAGTCTACTTGTGTGCATTTATTTTTTTGCTAACAGGCTCAGCGTTCAAAGTTAATTTTTAAAAAGGATGAATAGAAAAAGGAGCACACAACTGACTCAAGACAAAGCTTAAATAATGGATTTTTAAGTACACAAGCTACGACAACGTTTAAGTACGGCAAACGGACAGCTGAATTTCGTCTAGTGGCTGATTACGGTAGTTTATCCATCAACTTTGAATTGAAACATCAACATCAATGTTAACTTGTGTATTGAATTTTGACTAACTGCAGCGCAGTGGCAATTCGCCACAACTTGAGTGATTTTTGTTTTCTGTTGACTGTTCGTATTCCCATTCGGTTTCCATTCGAGGTTGATTTGGTTCCCATTCGCTTCTCATTCTGTTCACATTCGGCTCTCATTCCGTTCCCATTCGGCTCTCATTCCGTTCCCATTCGGCTCTCATTCCAAGATGATTCCAAGAAGGCGCAGTGGCCTTTTTTGAAAATTACGAAAATGAGCATTATTAAAAAACTAAAAGAGCTTTCGAAAAACGGTTTTGATTTTTAAAAACTAGAAATAATTACCGTAAATATTGTAATAGTACCCCACCCCCATAATGACCGTGCGGAGCGTTGCGTAGTCTAGCTTTGAACGATTGTTTCTCGACACTGGTTTATGTCACTAGTAGAATGTTTGTATTGTCGTTAGTAGAAAATTAACAATGAATTTTTTCCTTTCAACAACCGATTGTTTCCTTTCAACAACCGATCTATTGAGACACAGTATTCAAAACAAATAACACAAAGAAAAACGCATATTGCAGTGTTGAGGCGGTGCTCGATTTTGTTGTAGCATCTGGCAGTGTCGAGGCGGTGCTCGATTCCGTTGTGGTGCCACACTTTTTTTGTAACTCCTGAACGATTTACATAAAAGTAATTTCTGTCGACGAATACCTGCTGAAAGATTTGATAGTCCAGATCATGATATCCATCCTCCATTTTCATTCCCCCATTTTCCGGTTGACCGATTCGGAAATGTTGCAATTTTTCACTTCCCAGAGCCACCGGTTTCCACGAATTGTCCATCGTCGGTTTTCTGAACAGTTTTTGAACAGTTTTAAGCAAAAAAAAAGCGGAAAAACAACCCGTATTTTGCGAAATTCGTCCACCAAATCGCGTAAGTGTCGGCCAATTTGAAGTCAAAGTCCGTTGTCTGTAAAACTTGACTAGAATCGATCCAGAATAAAGCTGATAATGAAATATTGTTTTTAGATTGACGCTAAATGTTGCTTTGGTGACACCAGGGATAGAGGAAACTAAATAAAAATGACAGGCTAAGCCAGGGTCAGACCAAAGCCTGGCTTGACTTCCCTGGCTTGCCCAGTTTTTAGAAAGTGGACCAGCCTGGGAGAAGGTAGGCCCATTTTTGTCAGTCCAATTCAAGTATGTCACTTTTGGTTTACAATCGACTAGTTTTTATCTGCTTTTTGTCAATTCAATGTCAATTCAATGTCAATTGTCAGAAATTCAAGTTGAAAGGTTGAGTTTTTTGAAACAAATAGCTTCGAAACCTTTTTTTGAGTAGTACGCACAATCTCAGCTCTTAGAGATTGTACACACTCTGAGCCTTTGCTCTCAGAGGTTGTACATACTCTGAGCCTCTGATCTCAGAGGTCCAACTACCACTTTCGGTTGCTTTCGGTTGCTCCATCCCAATAAAATTTTCTTGATCACAAACTTTGTGATCAGAATGCCCATACAGAAATCTGTACCTGATTCTTGTCGTAGATGTCATCGTATTCTGGATCCGCCCAGATAAACCAGATAAAAAGAAGATCTTCAGTGTGGGGCACAGGTCGATATCCACCCAATCTCTCAGCAACCATTTCAGCGGTTGGCGTCTGCCGGTAGTACGAGGCATAAGCCTGCTCAAAAAGAAAGAGCTCCGAGTTCCCGTTGGCCACTTGTAGGTGAACCTCTTTGGTCACATATTGCAAACTCGAAACCGCCGCCAATATCTGAAAGTTTTTTAGGTAAAATTCTACCTCAAAATTTATTGAAGTTAAAAATTGTCAACTAGCCATTGCCCATTTGCTTTGGCTTACTTGTAAACCGGCCTTAAATCAGACGGTTGCATCGTCATCCCTCGTCCCTTTTGGTGTATAGGCCTAAATGGGTTATTCTTGATTTAATAATAATCAAACATCTTGAACTATCTTCCAGATTGTTTCTCGATCAAGGGTATATAAGGAAACCATTGCAGCTGTTTCAAACAATGACCGAGTTGTCGCCTTGTTGAAATCGTCAAACGAGTAGTACCCAGCATCGATAAGGCCAAAGTCTGTAACTCAAAAATCACTAGCCTCACCCAGCAAAGCTGTCACCCAGCAAAGCAAAGCTGATAGCCTTTAAAGTCTTCTATCTTTTGGTATATTAAATATAACAGTATCTTTAAATGGTACTGAAAACGAAGCGTTTCTTTTGTCACTAACATGTCACTAACACTTTTTTTTGCACTAACATGTCAACGCCGCCTCATCTCGCATATTTCCAATCATGACAGGCAAATGGAGAGCTTACGAGTCTTTGGGTAGGAAGTAATCATCTCGAATTATTGGACAAGCCTCAGTCGCCTTAATGTGAAATGATTCCGTGGGTGAATGAAGCTCTTACAATGGAAAGCCACTCCGACGGCTTGAGTGCATTCATGCAAGATTTCAGTAGATCCATGTTCCCAGTGAGGCTCGTATTGCAAAGCTGAAATGAAACCGTGTATGGTGGCGCTCATGTACCGCTAATGGCGCTAATGTACCGCTCTTCAAACGCACTTCACTCGCTAAATCCTCGTTGTAGTTGGAGTGCGCGATTGGACCATCGGTGTGCATGTAGAGAGCACCGGATTCCATGATTGCTCGATGAAAGTAACCTATTTTCAAAGCTTGATCTTGCATTCAAAGGTCTTGCATCAGCTTTTAAGCTAATCTTGACCATTCCTTCATTCTCACCTCTGCTCAACGGGGAGTACAATTGAGCGTTCACCGACGATGATCCAGAGGATTCTCCAAAAATTGTCACCGAATTCGGATCACCGCCAAACGAGGCAATGTTCTTTTGAATCCATTTCAAAGCTTCCAACTACTATATAGATAATAAATTTCCGTCGAAAAAAAACCTGATCTAAGAGTCCACGATTCGGGGGGAAATCCGCGGTGTTTGTGGTGAAGAATCCAGGGAGACCGAGTCGATATTGAATCACAACGATCACCACTCCTCGAGAGACCAGATTTCTTGTGGCTCCCTGGAATACGAGAATAGGTGATTCTCGGAAAAAGATCAAGGAAAATAGCTGAGAATCCAAATGTGATAGCCTGATAAGAATAGCTGATCGACCTGATAAGAATAGCTGCTCGCACAGTCAACCACGAGTCCTCCACCATGAATCCAAGCCATCACCGGGTACTTTGTCGTCGATGTCGCCTGTAATGATTGGAAACGAATTTATTCTAGTCAACAATGGATTCCCGCCAATATATTGAGATATTGGATAGATGTCTACTTCGATTTGCGTCGGCTTCGATGAATCCACGATAGTTTCTTTACCAAGATAATTCGCCAGTACACAAAAGCAAATTTTTGATAGACCGCGTTGTGACTCTCTCGAATGGAGGAAAAGCACATTTACCGGGATGGTTTGGGATCAATCACGTTTCCTTGATCAAAGCTCCACCATTCTCACCGGATTTAAATGTTATCGAGAATTTATGGGCCTATTTGAAATCGAAATTGCGAGGAAAACGTTTCAATTCTAAAGTCGAGCTATGGTTTTACGTCAGAAAAATTTGGAGGACGATTGGACCTGGAATTCTTGATGAATTAATTAGATCGATGCCTACTCGTGTTAAAGAAGTACTTTTGGCGAAAGGAGGGCCAACGAAATATTGATTATAGCTTAATTTCGTCTTGTGCTAAAAGACTTTGACTGTATCTTTGCACATGACTGTATCTTGCACTTAAGCGTCCTCAGCTCATTCTGATTTTGTTTTTGCAGTAATTATTCTGAAACCACCATGATTTTTTAACTGAACTGAATCAGCAACCACAAAATATCTAAGGAAAGACATTTCCCCATTTTCTGCAAGGAATTCCATTAGAAGCTCCGTAAATAAAAGCGTTTGGCACGTAAATAAAAGCGTATACAGGGTGCGCCATAATTGTCGCAACAAGGCATCACGTCCAGTTTCCGTGATGGTTTTTGGTGACATCACTGCAACAGGAAAAGCTTCTCTCAAATTTGTTCTCCAAGGCGTGAAAGTCAATACCGATAACTACCTGGCTCTTCTCAAGGATGAACTCTTGCCCTGGGCTCGGAAACATTTTGGAAATCGCATTTGCGCTCATCAGCAAGATCGCGAACTGGCCCACAAATCCAAGAAACTTCAAGAGTTCTGCCAAAACCATTTCCCAGAATTCATTTCTTTTTCTGTCTGGCCACCTAGCTCTCCAGACCCTCAACCCAATGGATTTTTCAGTGTGGTCGGTTCTAGAAGCCAAAGCTTGTTCAAAACCCCACAAAAACATCGAAAGCTTGAAGAAATCTCAAAAATTTAAAGGAAATAATAATGTTGTATTGATTACTGACACATACAAACTTCTCGTCTCTTTTAAAACCACAAAGATGAAAGAAAATATCGAAGATGTATGTGTTGAGTGTCGTTTAAGCACCTGAACTCATCGGCTAGTCGAAAAAAAGTGATACATTTGGAAAACAAACATAAAACTGCTCAACAAAGATTACAACTCTTCGCGCAGAACTTCTTTTTGTCATCGTTGCTGTAGGCGGGATTGTTGCAGAAGCCATTCGCCACCCACATTGAACAACTGAAAGTGTAAGTGCTGTTTATCGATATTATCGGCAGTTTATCATATCTTAATTATTCCGAATATGTGAAAATGGAATGGATCGACGGTCTACTCTTCTTATCATATCCCCATCAAAATGTTTTGTTGTCCATCGCCGAAAGGAGTTGGCACAGGCTCGGTCGAAACATTTGGGGACGCTGCTCTTTTTGCACAAACGCGGTTCATTCTCAGCGCACAGATTTTGAATCAAATAATCTATTTTTGATTCTGAATAGTCAAATTTGAACTTATCTTTTATGTAAGACCATTTTTAAGACCGTAGCCGACTGGCTAAGAGCCCTATATCTTAGTTGGGAAGTCAAGGGTTCAATTCAATCGGCTAGATTATTAGTTCTTTTTTCAAATAGTAGATTTTTATTTTGGTCTGTAAAAACTTTGACTTTTTGACTACATGGAAACAGATAGGAATCAAATGGGAACTACAGGGAAACAGATAGGAATCAAATGGGAACTACAGGGAAACAGATAGGAATCAAATGGGAACTACAGGGAAACAGATAGGAATCAAATGGGAACTACAGGGAAACAGATAGGAATCAAATGGGAACTATAGGGAAACAGATAGGAATCAAATGGGAACTATAGGGAAACAGATAGGAATCAAATGGGAACCAAATAGGAACCAAACCAAACAAGCCCAAACATTATTTTTCTAATAGGAAAAAGTTTCAATATTTTCATCAAATTCTTGAAATTCGATTCCACATTGAGAATAAACCGCGTTTCTGCAAAAAAGCATCGGCTCTAGAGAGTTTGACCGAACTGCTTCTTTCAACTTCTAGACGCACTAATCTTCAAGACGGTTTTTCTCTATGTTTTTATCAAAGAGTATACAAAACAAATTCTACTTTTCTAGAACGAATTTTAATGAGGATTCTGTTAAAACCAACGATAAGTTGATTCAACTTCTATACCTTGAGCTATAGACCATCTAAGTTGAGCAACTCTTCCAGGTAGGTCGTTCAACTTTGACACCAATTTTCCCTATGTTCTTACACTTGAGTATACAAAATAAATTGTAGTTTTCTATAACCAAATTTCATGAGGATCATTTTAAAACCAACCTCAAGTCGATCTGATTACTGAGAGTCGAGATATAGAGTAAAAGAGAAAAGTGCGCTAAAGTGCCATTTTGACTATAGAACAACGACACTTTAAGTTACGAAGAGTATATAATTAACGATTTTTAAATCTATTTTTATTTAGTCCATCTGTATGTGAAGATCGAGTCAAAAAGGTTATTCGGGGTTATTTCTGGTTACCCTGTAATTGTAAAATGTAGTGAACTGAATTTACTCTATTGAAATAGAGTAAATTTAGTCATAAATCAAATTTTATCGCTGCTTTCTTACCTTGTCGAAGCATCGATACAAGGAATTGCAGTGGGTGCCCCCGTCGATGTTTCGCCACACAAATTACAGCTCTTCGCACAGTATTCTCTCTTTTGATCATCCGTGTACCCAGCGTTCTCACAGAAGCCATTTGATTTCCAAGCTGGACAGCTGAAATGTTCATTTTGTTTGAACAAAACCCCGCTCAAAAGAGCTTTGTATTAGTTTTTCAACTTTTAAAGCAAATTCTGTGCAAAGTTTACAGCAGGTATATTTACTCTGCTCCTTTTTTGATCCGTTTACCGTTGGCAATCCGTTGCCGCTGTATTTTGCTCGTATCTTCGCCGGCTTTGTTTGAAAAAACGTTGAATTTGCTTTCCCTCGACTCGAAATCAAATTTTCTACCGAATGAAAGTCAATTCAACACTTTTCAAACAAACCCGATCAAGATACGAGCAAAATTCGTAGATTTTCAACGGCAAACGGACCAAAAAAGGGTTCAAATAACTTTGAGTTCAAATATCTTGGTGTTGGGCTGTCCAATTTAAATGATTTTTATACCAATCGATAGAGAAAGACTTGGCGCATCTAATGATACTAAGAATATTGAAATTGGACCGACCAACACCAAAATATTTGAGTTCAAAGTTGGATTGCCAATGGTGGAAGGGGCGGGGTGCGGATTTTCCAAAAACTTTTAAAAAACCCCAGAAATGCAGGCCTGGTGACATTTGGGAAAGATAATTGACTTCAAAGTTAGATTGACAAAAGGGGCGGGGCAGAAAGACCTTTTATACACTTTGCCGCTCCTTTGCCATTGGCAATCTAACTTTGAGCTCAAATATCTTGACTTTGGATTGTTCAATTTAAATATTCTGGGTATCATTAGATGCGCCAAGTCTTTCTCTGTCGATTGGTATAAAAACTATTTAAACTGAACAATCCAAAGCCAAGATATTTGAGCTCAAAGTTGGATTGCCATTGGCAAAGGTGGCGGAACGCCTTTTATACGCCCCGCCCCCTTGCCATTGGCAATCTAGTTAGATTGCCTAGTTTGATCTCGTTACTTTGATCTAGTTAGAACAAAGTTGGACTGCCAATGGCAAAGGGGCTGGGCTGGGCGAGCTGGGCGAGGGGCGGGGCGTATAAAAGGCGTTCCGCCCCCTTTGCCATTGGCAATCCAACTTTGAGCTCAAATATCTTTACTTTGGATTGTTCAATTGAAATAGTTTTTGTATCAATCGATAGAGAAAGACTAGGCGCATCTAATGATATTAAGAATATTGAAATTGGACCGACCAACACCAAGATATTTGAGTTCAAAGCTGGATTGCCAATGGCAAAAGGGGCGGTTCCTATTTTGATCTGATACGGTTCCAATACGGTTCTTTTTAGCGAGTATTAAATGTCCGATAACCTTCAGATAATGATAGCAGGATCTGGCTTAGACATCATCCGGTTACTGTAGCTTTGGAACACAGTCTAGCTCTATAGCTCTATACCAAGGACCTCTGGTACTCTTATAAACAATGTGCCAAAAATATTAAAAAAAGGAAAACAAACCTAGTATCAGCATCTTTACATCCATCGCATAGATTACAACTCGCAGCACAATATTGTTTTTTCTGCTCATCTGTGTAGCTGGGATTTGTGCAGAAACCATTTGCCGCCCAAGCGGCACAACTAAATGGATATTATTGCTGATTTTTGATTTTTGATGTTTTTTGCTATAAGATGATTGTTTTTGCAATCATTTTAGAAGCTATTCATAGAAATGGTTCGTTTATATAGCTCGTTTATAGAAACGAGCTGAAGAAAATGGTTTCTTCAGCTCGTTTTCTACGTCGAGTTTATGGCAATTCCCCACAGTAGGCAAATGTTCAAGCGCTCAAAGATGCCATTACCTGATCGTGGATACTCTTATTGGCGTGACTTGCGCAAGGATTCATAACTGTTCTCAAAGCGAAACTTCGGCGGGGGTTCGGTGACGTGTTGGGGCGCCTCGTCTTTGTCACATCCAAGATGAACTCACAAGATTACATCGATGTGCTCGAGGTCAACCTTCTTCCATATCTGCAAAGTCTTCCACAACACCAACTCATCCTATAGCAAGACAACGCCAGCATCCACCTCAGCCAAGAAACCAAGTCATGGCTTCAGTCAAAAGAAGTGCCTTTTCTGGATTGACCTGCGTGCTCCCCCGATCTCAACCCCATCGAGAATCTGTGGGGAATGCTTGCTCGTCGAGTTTATGGCAATTCCCCACAGTACGCAAATGTTCAAGCGCTCAAAGATGCCATTACCCGCGAGTGGAATGCCATTACAAGAAGCACCATCAAGAAACTAGTTAACAGCATGCTGAGTCGTCGAATAGTCGTCAGTCGTCAGGGACAGACAACCAAAACATTAAACTGTTATTGTTATAAATAAACCTAGCTATCATAAAAATTGAACAAAAATGCAACAAAGACACCAAAGTTTGGTAAAATTCGGTTTTGCACCGGGTGAATTTTCGTTTTTTGGCTGTTACATTTTCCCTATTCATGCTATGTCGAAGATTTTTGGGGTTTAAGGGTTATTTTTGGCCCTGAATCTAACTACGTTTTCAGTTTTTTTTTGTCACTGGCACGGGAGCCGCAGAAAATTGAAATTTAGGGGGTGGCGTATGTTTTTGCACCGCACTGTATTGCAATATTTACGGTAGCTAGATTTTAGAGTGGGTGAAGTCGAGATTTCAACAATTTTCTGTGGAATCTCGAAAGAAAATGGTCGCTTTACGAAAGGAAATCATCACTTGCGAAAGGAAATCATCACTTGCAAAACAATCTCACTTTTCTTTACCCAATTGAGGTATCCAAATCGATAAACTAAGTAGTTTAAAGTTTAAATTGAATCGATTTGAATCAAGCAATGCATTTCTTTCATTCAGAAATCATTCTTTTTCATTCGCTACTCGAAGAGTAGGCTTTGAAAAATTGATTCTAAATCATATGCACAGAATCGCCAAGATTTGAGCACACTGGTCGCGTCCGTTTCCTTCCTATTTGCGTTGCTATTTTGCAATTATTCGCGTCGCATTTTTCGCCCTTTTCTCCCTTTCCGAAATTGTTTTTTTTTGGTCTGCGGGTTGCTTTTGCCTTCCCTCTTGGGGGACTTTGGTTGTTTCTTTTGATGCGCATGCTGTCTTTGTAATAGGTATTGTTGCATTTTGGTTTTGTACTAATAAACAGTAAAATTATAAACTCAACTTACTTTATGCTACCCTTCAGGTTTTAAATCCTGTTTAGATAACTGGTTTAACATTGTAGCGAGAGCTTACTAACATTTGTGTCGCCACCGACGAGTATTAATCTTGTGTTGGATGCTGCTCGTTCTTGTTATGTTGTAAGGGCTTTGGGGAAACCCTTTTTAACCTTCTTTGTGCAATTCGGCTATTCTGAAGCAAAATCATCCTCGATGATAAGGTTAAAGCGGGTCGCACCCCAAACTCACTCATACTTACAGCCAAGCAACCGATTGATTGATTGATTCATTTTTGTGATGGATAAGGTTTCTATGGTCAATATGATGCATTTTTAGTGAAATTGCGGAAGAAGGCCTACTTTTTCGTGTCACTGTCAACACACGGCGCTGTTGTTGTTCCTGCAATCGAGGCTGTGATTGTCGGCTTAGTTGGAGCACTATTTGATGAGGCTGAAGATACTTTTGATTATCGTCATTATTTTAAATAATGACGATACAGTTTACTTTGTATTAGACGTCTACCTGTTGAGCACGCATCTGGTTTTGCGGTGCTAGACGGAACAATGTTTGGTTGACACGTGTATTTCTTTTTATTTGTATCCAATTTTTTCGAGTAGCCGTCACAGCACGTTTCACGTGGAAAAACACAAAGGTCTTCGCTTGTGTGAACGATTTGTGTCGACGGGCCTCTAGAATCTAATGCTTAAAGCATATACCGTAAATACTGTATTTGGATTCCATCCCTTTAATCCCAGCTAGACCTGCTTAACGAGTCCGGGTAAAATTTTCAGACAGTCTGCCTCGCTCTTCGATTTTTTACTACCGAAAGCTTCTTCAAGCATGAAACCCAGTTCCCCAGCAAGCCCTTATTTTAGGCTTCATTTTGATACTAAACATGGCTAGGTTAGCTTTTGTCATTCTTTAGATTTGGATCATTTTAGATGGAAATTTTTCTGGACTCGTTAAGATTATCGAGTCCGAAAGATTGATTGAAATCTAAAGAATGACAAAACAGAACCTAGCCATGTTTAGTATCAAAATGAGGCCTAAAATCAGGGCTTGCTGGGGAACTGGGTTTCATGCTTGAAGGAGCTTTCGGTAGTAAAAAAATCGAAGAGCGAGGCAGACTGTCTGAAAATTTTGCCCGGACTCTAACGCTTAATTTAGTAATTAAATTAAATAACGCTCAATTTAGTAATTAAGCGCTTAGTTAAGCGTTATTTTAACATTTTATAGTCATTTTCTAAACGATTTTTGTTGTTCAAGAAACGCATCTTGAACAACAAAAAAAAGCGTCAAAAACCACTTCTAAAAAAAGCCATGTTTAGCTACTTGTTTTCTAAAGATTACCTCTAAAGAAAGCCATGCTTAGCTAAAGTTTAAAAGTCTTCTCATTTGCCTAAAAACTTACTGGCACTCGCATCCATTCGACTGCGATAAACATTGCCGCGTTTGATTTTGCGTGTAGCACATTCCACAGATCACATTACCGTCAGTTGGTTGAAGGCTTCCAACATCTACCCAATCACTCCAGATTTGTTCTGAAAAAGGTAGATTTCAGTTCCTCTAGTTCTTGTTTCCGTTCTGCTTTTAGTTCTGCTTTTAGTTCTGCTTTTAGTTCTGCTTTTAGTTCTGCTTTTAGTTCAGTTCTGTTTCTAGCTTCTTAAGTGATATCTAATATCAAAGAAACTTTCGAAAAAACATGGATTTTAATGGAAACTAACGTGTCGAAAGATTTCGACATAATAGCTAACTTGTTAACTAATTAAATTAGTTAAAAAGTAAGATTCAAGTCCCCTTTTCAAACGAAAGATTTTTACAAATCAAGTAGTGATTTTTATTGCTAACCAACAATCCTCTTCAAAGTGTTTTACCTTACGTAAAAGTCTCAAAAGAAGAGTTTTAGGACATTGAGCTTTTACAAAGCCAAAATATATTTCAGCAGATCTTTTTAGAGATCTTTTTTTAGAGTATCGTTTAAAGTCTAAGTCAAAAAAAGATGCTAAAACCAAAAAAGTCTAATCTCAAGCAAGGATATACAGATATCTGAATTCAAAAATCCGGGTTTTCCTTAAAGAGAATTCACAATTCACTTAAAAGGTTATTTACAAGTAACCAATTCCCTTACAAATGGATTACTTCGAATCCGATCTGGGCCCGTGTCCACTAAACTATTAGGTTGACCGAGAAGTCTTTGGACAAGTCACTTAAAAAGCTATTCACAAACCAATTCATCGGTTGATCTACGGCTTGCAATTAGGCAATGAACCCGCGAAACCGCGAAGCCTTGGTGTGTTCGTTGTAGCTTTGTATTAGGCTGTCCAGAAAGTCTTTTCGTTTCTTTTCATTCTTCCGTTTAAAACCAACAAATGAACTAATTGAACTACAGTTTATTTCATTAGAAAGGCTTAATGCTTTTGGCTTAATGCTTAAGGCTTAATGCTTAAGGCTGAAAATAACGTTTAAATCTTATGAAAATGGTTTGTCTTTGGATTTGCCAATTTAGCATTTGCCAATTTAGCATCTCCCAATTTAGCCTGGCAACTTAGCAGTTGCTCGATCTGGGCCCCGATCTAATAGAAATTCGATCGAATTGCAAGGCTAGAAAACCCTCTATTCCTGATTCCTACCACAACAATCCGAGGTCGATGCAGCGAATGAAAGAGGGATCAAGAAAAGGAATAAAAGTAACATATCGAAAGTCGAAGAGTGACAAAAAAGCGAGTTAAATAAAGAAATAGACAAAGCTGAGATAAATAAAGAAATAGACAAAGCTGAGATCAACGCTAAAAATGTCTCTTATCAGTCTCTTCTAAACTCAGCCACACAAAATGGGGTCAAAGAGTCGGCATTCGCTAAGCCGGTAAGTGGCGAGGCTTAAGTAAAGCTTTTATGGGAATTTCTATCAATTTCTTTTAGATATTCTTTTTTTCTTTCTGAGAAAACCCTTTCAATTCACTATTTTCAAAAGCCAAAATCTGGAAAATTCCCGTTTTCAACTTCGTTTCGAAAACTTTGAAACTTCGACACTTCGAAAATCGTTCGAAAAGTTTTCATTCCTGGGGGTCGTTGGCTCTCTCGTTGACTAGCTCAATTTCCTGTTTTCTAATCTATTGCTTAAACGTGTGAAATGAGCTGAGAAAGATACTTATAGTGCTCGAATCCACGGATCAACTATAACACTTGAAAATACAGGGTGACCAAGAATTACCACAAGAATATTATTTTATGAGCCCCATTTCACTTTTACGTTACGTCTTCTATGAAGGCAGATCCGGCTTGAAACAATTAATCAAATGATCCTCATTTCTATTTAAGGTAGTGCCGATCCCACAAGTCTTGAATAATTTTCGAATCATGTCCGGTAATTCGTCTGGTAATTTGTCCGGTAATTCGCCCCAGGCTTCCAGAATCCAACCCAGGTAGATTTCCATTGATGGAAGCTTGGGGTTCCGGCCGCCAGTGCTTTCTTTTCGTTGTCGCATCTAAGCCGAGATCAAGATCCAATCCTCGTATTGCTGGTGAATGCCTTGAACGGGGCATTCCATGAAACGAAAGAAATCCAAAAGAAATTTCGTCGTGAACATATACTTGATCATTTTGCTTGTGATGAAGGCTTTCAACGGTAAATATCTTTTCATCTGTGATATTGTGATGGTCGATTCCATTGAAGTGCATCAATGACCGATCTACTCTCAATTTCCACTTGTTTTTAGCGGCATTCGAAAGAAGTAGAGTCTTGTTTTTCCTGTAAGCAGTAAGTTTAAATAAATCAACTATCAAATTCGAATCGGCCACCATTTGAGCAGGCTCGCAGGCGTTTCGGGAAGGCTTCAACGGTTGCGACCAAATAGGTTGTATCGAGCTCTTCTAGATGTGCACTTCGAGGAACCATAGCATTCGGTTGAGATTTGGCCCATACTCGATCATTTTGCTTGGTAGGAAGACCTTAAACGGTAAATACCTTTTCGTCTGTGAACAAGATATTGTGATGGTCGATTCCATAGAAGCGCATCAAGAGCGCATCATACGCTTATGAATCTCCGGCATGGAGACTCCTCGCTTGTGCAATTCGATGATCAATTTTTGATGGGAATTTCGGCAAGGCGATTTCGTTTCGGGAAGTGGCGGTGGCGACCAAATAGGCTGGATCGAGCTCTTCCCACGCTTTCAACAGTGATTTCTTCAAGCTTTCGATGTTTTTGTGGGGTTTTGAACAAGCTTTGGCTTCTAGAACCGACCACACTGAAAAATCCATTGGGTTGAGGGTCTGGAGAGCTAGGTGGCCAGACAGAAAAAGAAATGAATTCTGGGAAATGGTTTTGGCAGAACTCTTGAAGTTTCTTGGATTTGTGGGCCAGTTCGCGATCTTGCTGATGAGCGCAAATGCGATTTCCAAAATGTTTCCGAACCCAGGGCAAGAGTTCATCCTCGAGAAGAGCCAGGTAGTTATCGGTATTGACTTTCACGCCTTGGAGAACAAATTTGAGAGAAGCTTTTCCTGTTGCAGTGATGTCACCAAAAACCATCACGGAAACTGGACGTGATGCCTTGTTGCGACAATTATGGCGCACCCTGTATACGCTTTTATTTACGTGCCAGACGCTTTTATTTACGGAGCTTCTAATGGAATTCCTTGCAGAAAATGGAGAAATATCTTTCCTTACATATTTTGAGGTTGCTGATTCAGTTCAGTTAAAAATCATGGTTGTTTCAGAATAATTACTGCAAAAACAAAATCAGAATGAGCTGAGGACCCTTAAGTGCAAAAATACGTGCAGAAATGCGCAAAAGGAATGAAATTGGGAGCTTTCTTTTATACCTGCAAATGGGTAGGGTAGTTTTACCACGCTTTAAAGCGCGAACCCAGGATACTCTCGAAAAGGTCATAAGTGGTTCAAACATCAGTTTTTATTTTTGCAATGCTCCATTTCATGATCTCACAAGAGCCATCTGATTGCAGTTTTTGTGCACTTCTGAGTTTTAAAATTTTATATTAGCTTTTTTTTTTTTTTTTCTATTAGCATTTGTCATCTGATGCATCTGTCCTTCAAATTTGTTTGTCGTTTTGTTGAAATTTGTGCTTTTAGACCTCGAAAAAGCAAAGCCCTTCTATGTCAGCAAGATTCACAGAAAAACGATGATTTTTGATTGCACAAATTTTCTTATCTTTTCTCAGTCTTCAGTATCTTTTTCATGCACACAAATTAATGCCTTTAAAGCTGAAAAATAAATGAATTTCATTTGGTTTTTTTTTCATTAATTTTATTGAAAATGCATGGTCACTTTGTTAAAAAGTGTTCGCTAAATATTGGGTTGGTGAATTGAAAACTGCGGGACTTTGAACTAAAATTTATTCAACATTCAACAAACCATAAATTCATTCCAAATAATTTCCATTATTATTGACGACTTCTGCCCATTTTAAAGGCAATTTGTGAATTCCTCTTTCGTAGTAGGATTTTGGTTTGTGTGTGAGACAAGTGTGAGACTCAAAAATGGAGGACTGGAGATGTCCCAGTTTGAGCACTTTCTTCAAACGAAACCCATTTTGGTGTCAATAGAAAAGTTGTAGAGAATCAAAAATTAGGCTTATAGCCAAATTTCCAAAAAGATACACTTAGTAGTTTCGCTTAAAATGCAAGTTTTGTGAAAATTCGTAAATTTGGCATTTCTTGAAAACCAGTTTTTGAATCGTTCTGAAAATTTGGATATAAGCTTAATTTTTGATTCTCTACAACTTTTCCATTGACCCCAAAATGGGTTTCTTTTGAAGAAAGTGCTCAAGCTGTGACAGATGACAATAGCCGGCAGTTTTCAATTCACCAACCCAATAGTTCGCTATAGTTTTAACTGTATATCTTTTATTTGTACAGCTCGAAAAGTTTAAATCTAAAATCTAAAAAATCTAAAACATCTAAAAAACCTTTCTATTTTTTTTCAGATGCAAATTCTCTTCGCTTTCATTTCGTCGAGCTGCCTAGTGACGGCAGTGACTCAAAATGTTCACGTAGAGACTCCAATGGGTATCGTAACCGTGAGGATTTTTAAGGGAATTTTTTAAATCAAAATACGAAAATTAGGGATTTCATGTCGATTATAACAACAAGGGGAATCCACCTTGGATGTCTGGAAAAGCCGATATTTTCCTAGGAATCCCATTTGCCCAACCGCCAATCGGGAACCTCCGCTTTCAGGTAGCAATCTGTTATTTATATAAAGTTTGAGCAGTTTGAGCACTTTCTTCAACAGAGACCCATTTTGGCGTCTATGGAAAAAAAAGACTGAAAAAATAAAACACGACGAAAGACTGAAAAATTCTTTGTGGCGGGGTCCTTTTATTGCGTCGGGTTACGGTAGTTTCCGACGTTTGGCGCGGAAACGTCTGAAATGCAAAGTGTACGGTGGACGGTCCGAAAGGCATCTGTTGTCAGAATTTTATTATTTTAAGAGAGAATTCCTTTAAATTGATTTAAAGTAAAATGAAATTAAACCCAATTTGTTTAATTACTTTTTTAGATTACTTTTTTAATGATTATTTTTAATTTATTGGGTTGGTGAATTGAAAACTGCGGGCTATTGTCATAGGTGACAGTTTGAGCACTTTCTCCAAAAGAAACCCATTTTGGTGTCAATGGAAAAGTTGTAGAGAATCAAAAATGAAGCTTATATCCAAATTTTCAGAACGATTCGAAAACTGGTTTTCCAGAAATGCCAAATTTACGAATTTTTACAAATGAAATGACGGAAAAGGAGGGGGAGGGGAGGGGGGAGGGTTACGGTATCTGTCTGTCTTTCTGTCTTCCTTACTGTACGGGCATTTTTCCAGCCGTATTTTGACCAATATTTCATTTTGCTTTTGTGTATCTTTTTGGAAATTTGGCTATAAGCCTAATTTTTGACTCTCTACAACTTTTCTATTGACAACAAAATGGGTTTCTTTTGAAGAAAGTGCTCAAACTGGGACATCTCCAGTCCTTCATTTTTGAGTCTCACGGATCCCTGAAGAAGAATAGGCCCTCCAAGTCAAAAATCGTTCTCCTCCACGACAACGCGCACCCTCATGTTGCAAAACTGACTCGCTCTAAAATAAACAGCCTTGTTTGGGAACTTTTGGCGCATTCCCCATACAGTCCGGACCTCGCTCCTTTTGATTACTATTTATTTGATTTGATTTTGATTCGATTCAAAACCAAAATCCTATCACGAAAGAGGAATCCGCAAATTGCCTGTAAAATGAGCAGAAGTCGTCAATAATAATGGAAATTATTTGGAATGAATTTATGGTTTTGTGTTGAATAAATTTTAGTTCAAAGACCCGCAGTTTTCAATTCACCAACCCAATATTATCGCTATTTTCTCTCTAGTTTGCTAGTTCATCACTTTGCGCCCATGATAATCCGGCTTTGGAGTTGGAATTGGCGCTTGACCTTTGCTCAGCCATTGCCTTTTTCGAGAAGTATTATCAAAGTGAATCCACTTCTCATCCATCGTCAAGATATTCTCAAAAAAAATGGCTTCTTTTCGACTTCTGGAGCAAGATATGGCTGATCGGAACGCGTGCTCCCAGATTCTCAACACTCAATTGATGTGGAACCCATTGTCCATTACGATTTGTCTTTCCAATTATTTCCAAATGGCGTACAATTGTTGAATTGGAGATGTTTGGCAAGTTCTCGTGTTTTTTGCATTGG